TGTACTTTTGTTTGGGACTCGTTTACTGCGAGGTCGTACCAAATCAATCTCGTTCGTAATCTAGTGGATCGTGCTCGTCGATTATGTTCGCCTTCAAAGTTGGATGAGGAGCTGGAGCGGCTACGCACTTTGTTTCGTTTAAATGGGTACCCGGAATATGTGATATCTAAATATGTCGTAGTAAGTACACTGGGTGGAGCGAAGGAAGTGTCCTCCGAGGCCACTCCGGTGTATCTTCGTTTGCCTTGGAAGGGTGAAGCTGTTTGCCGTACCATGCAACGTCGAGTTAAGTCAGCTGTAGAATCGAACTTTCGTAATGTTAGTGTCCGGTTCGTCTACACAACAGCTCGTGCCTTCATGGTGAAGAAGGATGTCCTACCCACTCTTAAATTATCACATCTTATTTACAACTTCGAGTGCCGGCAATGTGAGAGCCGGTATGTGGGTAGGACCCTTCAGCACCTGGAGGCACGGATCCACCAGCATGTGCCTCTTCACGTTATGCCTGTTGAGGCACGGTCGTCAAGGCCTAGACGAGGTCGTCCCCCAAAGAATGGTACTGCGACTGGAGGTGCACCCTCGCTGGGGACGGAACCAACTGGGGTGTCGTTGTCTTCTTCGTCGGCATCGGCTTGTTCGTCATTGCCTTCGTCTTTACCGTCTCTTCCTTCTATCCCGTCATCATCGTTGGTATCTGCGGTTTCGTCTTCTTTGACTTCCTTGGTACCGTCATCCGGTGTGTCCACCTCCGGTGGCAAGAAGCGTGGCCGGCCACCGAAGAAACCACCGGATGGTGTGTCTACGGGACCAGTGACTCGCTCTAGGGCGAGGTTAGCAGAGTCTTTATCGTCTCCGTCGTTGTCGTCATCGTCGTCGTCAGCGTCTTCCTCATCTCCCTCCTCCTCTTCATCAACATCAACAGCCATTGGAACGTCAAAGGGAGCATCATCGCAGCAGGCAGTGCCAGTAACGGACGTGCCTTTGGTACTGACATCTACATCGGCCTCGTCTGGATTGGCAGTAGCGGCAAAGAATGTCAGGTCGGTTTCATTGTCACATAATTCCAAAGTATGTACTGGTTCTAGTAGCGTTGTTAGGGTGTATGAATCTTCTGTTGCTAACCATCTTGTTCAGAATAGTGATTGTCGTTCTAGTTATGCTGATGATTGCTTTTCTGTTTGGTCTCGTTCACGTAGTCAAAGGTATTTGCGTGTATTGGAGTCTATCTACATTTTTACCACCAAGCCGATTTTGTGTAGGCAGAAAAAGAATTTGTTTACGTTGAAATTGTTTGTGAATTTAGATCAGTAGTTCTCGTTTGTGGTTGCATGGTTACTTTCTAGTGGTGAATTTATCGCATCTGTTGTCACCTGATATCGTTGAATGGTGTAATGTTTCTTTCAGCTCTCATTTTATCGCGCTAGTTAGGGTCTAAATTATTACTTGCATTGTGCGTATATATATTGAGTTAAGAGCTTTTGTTGATTTGCCAGTAATCCTCTGATGAGATGGTGACGAAAATGTTTAGGAACAAGCTTCTTTATTTACATGAAAACAAGTTTTGCTTATGGTGTTTGTACTGAGTGCGCAGCTTACTCTATTTATTGCGTTGATTATTTGTTAAAATAATAATTATAGGTTTGTGTCCCGCCGCCATGTGCCAGCCCGCGTGGCGAGAGACAGAGCCACCCCCCCCCCCTGCCCACCCCCCTCCCCCCGAATTTGTGTATGGGTGGGGTCCCAGTTATGTTGGGTGGGCTGTTTGTGTTCTATCCTCCCCCCCCCCCCCCCCCCCTGTGTCATTTGGTATGGGCAGATGTGTGTGCGTGTGTGTGTGTGTGTGTGTGTGTGTGTGTGTTGTGTGTGGATACGCGCTGTACGATACAAACATTGATATATGGACTGCACTCAAGAAAGAGTGTTTATGGAACTAGGAACAGAGGGGGCCGGGGGTTACGACAGAGGTAGGCAGGAGGTTCCTGGACACGGTATGACAACTCAGGAGCAAATACACAGCAAAGTGGACCAGACACAACAGTTCCCTATAGTTCATGCATCAAACGCTCCTGTGTGGAGTGTGGTCAAGGTTCAGATTTATGTTGCTCAGGGGTTGAAAAATGTGTCGCCCGCCGACCATGCATGGGTACTGAGGGAACCAGAAAATTTAATTAAATTTGTGCAGGAAAATTCAGGGGGAGAGGACATTGTATAGGGTGAGTTTTTTCTCACCTGGTTCCATTGGATAATCCATCGGCGGGCATGAGCAGTAGGACAAGAAAGCAGAGATCTTGATCAGATGGTGTCCGTGCTGAGTTGTCCTTCCAGCCTCCCAGTACCTCCTCCATCGGAACCCCCCGCTCAACATTGGGCACATAGTTGTCTAAGGTTTAGGCCTGCTAGTGGTTTCAGCTAGTTTGTTGTTCAGCACAGAATTTGCTATTTCAGTAGAGTCATCTTTCCCCAACTTACTCCCTTGGCCATAGTGTAGGAAACCGTTGTCTTTTTTCTTGGCAGTTGGTCTTTCTACTGGTCAGTAATGTCGGTTAGTTCTTTGTCTTTGCTGGCGGGTGGTTGTTTCCCGCTCTTTTGTTTGCACGCATGCGTGCTGAGTTTACAGTTAGAGTAGTATAGGGCTTGAAAGTGATGACGTCAAAAGTGGCCAAGGAGTAGTAAGTTGACATCAGATTTCTATTTTGGATCCACTAAGGTGTGACTTTGCTATTGCCTCAGTATGTGGGTGCATAGCAACCCACTCATGTTGTACGCAGGGGTGACTTTTGCTTCGCCACCAGTTGTAACCCCGCCCCCAGTAGCCAAATCAGTCAGTTTCATTGGCTACATCACCTTGCTGTGAGTAAGACGGCTTGAAATGTGCTTGGATCCATACAAAAACTGGATCCAAGTGGATCCAGTTTTTGAATTTTTGAAATTGTTGCTATGCTGTGACGTAGCACTTTCAAGCCCTATTGGTCCTGTGACTGTGTGCCCTACTGTCGTCATGACGCAGTCAAAAACGCACTGTCGACATGTCTGGCTATACTTAGCCTAGCCTAGGCTACCTGTACTCAGGTAGACCTACTAGTACTAGCTGTAGTTTGTGCGTGGTGTGAGCGTGCACTGTCTGGCTACCTGTACTACTAGCAAGAGTCCATAACCCAAGAGTATGCAACTGTGATTATGGGTGCATGCGTGGCGCGCTGCCTTCATTACGTAACTTGCCTTCATCACGCTCTGAAAGCATGCATTCAAACTCTCAATTTCTCGCACGAGCCCATCCGTTTTTGCTCGATTCGTTTCAGTACCTACACAATCTCTGAATTCTGGAGCGTGAACTCCAGTTCCGTACGAAAGTTCATTTCAAACTAGAGGGAAAGTGCGGTGTTTGATTTTCCGCAGTGCGCGGACTGCAGCTGAATGACGTAATGAAGGCAGCGCGCCGCGCGGTTGGCCCATAGAAAAGAGATCACAGTTGCATACTCTTGGGTTATGGACTCTTGCTACTACAGGTCGTCCCCCGTTAATACGAGTCCGGTTAGTACATAAACCCCGTTAGTACATAAGAAATCTCAAGTCCCGGACGAAACGTGATCACTTCCATACAAATTTTGTCGGTTAGTACATAAACCCCGTTAGTACATAACATTTCTCCGTGCCTGCATGCCACCTACCTCAATAGTACATAATTATTTGTTGGTCTTTTGGCCTTCCAGTGGAGACACATCGTGTTCTAGTTTCTACTTGTGGGCGCAATTAGCTCAGAAATCAGAGTCCACATCACAAACCGACAAAGCTCTGTTTTTTTTCGAGTGACTGTACACTGTACAGGCAAGACTGGTCATGTATCATGTGCACTATAGAATCGTCGCTGACTGTGACCGTTATAACATAATGTTTATGTTATATCGAGGGAATAAAGAATATCTCGCTCCCTATACCTAGTCATGGTAGCAAGAAACACTCAGAAAAGTTGAAAAAAGTGAAAAATTCTGGTACCCAAGCACGTTATGTACACTTTCGTTTAGTACATAAACCCCGTTAATACATAACATTTGTCAAGTCCCAGAGATTATGTATTAACGAGGGACGACCTGTAGTACTAGCTAGCTGTAGTTTGTGTGCGGGCAACAGTCTGCACGTGCCGTGTCACCACTGGTCACTTGACAGTCCTAGTAAGTGTACGTGCCGTCACCATGGTCACTTGACTACTTCTTAGTAGTATAACTGTTATTTTTAGGTCGCGTGCTCTGGCGTCTTAGGCTGCGTTTTCACGACAACGCTGGGGGCGAAAACGCAACGAAATCCTTTCGGATCCATGGTTCATTTACACGGTACGCGGAGCAAAACGTAAAGGTTGTACACGAAAACGGAAGAAAACCAAAACGCTGGCCAAGGTGGAAGAATTTGAAAACGGAAATGTTCTGCCGGATAAATTTGGGTGTGCAGTCGAAACGGTGTGCTGGCCTCGTTTTCCGTCACGTTTGTTTCGTTTTCGGCCGTTTACACGGATCCGACAATCCAAAAAATTGTTTTTACAATTTTCGTCATGTGACGTGTGTTGTCGTGTGCCTGTTTTCAACCATTACTTGAGTGTGATTGGTGCTTCCACGGCAACACTTGGCACATGACGAACTAACTGTTACTTTGGCGGATCCTTTGCTCTCGTGTAGACGGCACTAGACGCTTGAAAACGGTACAAACGGAGACCACCTCGGATCGGCTTTGATCGTGTAAACGTACGAAAACGAAAAAAGAAATGCGGGACTGAAAACGGAAAACTGGCCGTGCGTTGTCGTGTAAACGCAGCCTTATTTTGTACTCAGCCCAGTCGCGTTCTACTCCTCGTAGGCATTCACGACTCATTGTATTTGTAGTAGTACAGTAGTACTAGAGTAGTAGTAGTACTGGTCTGTGTATTTATTTTTTTGCCTTGGTTCTGTTATTATCAGTGTTCTTTGTTTTGGTGCAGGATCTAACTATTACTTGTGACCCTTGGTTCTGTTATTAGCAGTGTTCTTTGTTTTGGTGCAGGATCTAAGTATTTTCTTGAGTTGTCTTTAGCTGTGCTAGTCCAGTGTAGCAGTCAGTGTGCTATTGTCTAGTTTATCTGTGCTGAGGTGTTCCTGCTGCGTATCAGCGTTCGTGCAAGAGTAGTCGTGGTGCGCACTGGTCGCGTCAGTTTAGCGGTCCGTTCTCTAGTTGTTATTTGCTCGCGCTGCGGCGCTCAGTTCTAGTAGTCCAGTTGGTGTCGCCGTGTGAGAGTTGAGATTGAATCTCGTAGCTGTCGCTAGTCTATCTACTCGTCTCTACGGTGTTGTCTCCAGTTGGAGCAGGTATGTGCCTGCTGTAGTGTCCTGTAGGCATGCAGTTGGTGTTCGGGTGGCCATCCCCTTACATTATTTTATTTCGTAGGCTTGTAGATATATATAATTATTAATATTTGTGCGGCGTCTATGGGTTAGTAATAGCGTCATATCTACGCATTAGTGATTGCGGGTGGGATAAATTTAATTCGTAAGTGGTGTAGTGTTTTTAGGGTTAGGGTTAGGAATTATTAAGAATGCTTAGCCAGTACTAATTATTAATATTTGTGCGGCGTCTGTGGGTTAGTAATAGCGACATATCTACGCATTAGTGATTGCGAGTGGGATAAATTTAATTCGTAAGTGGTGTAGTGTTTTTAGGGTTAGGGTTAGGGTTGGGGCCAGAGTTGGGATCAGGGTTGGGGTTGTGCACTACCCCATTCATTAATAGTTGTGTAGTGTCTATGGGTTAGTATTTGCCACATACCTATGGGTTAGTATTTGCCCCATACCTATGGGTTAGTATTTGCCACACACCTATGGATTTGTAATTGCGTATGGGGTGAATAATTCCTTGTTCGTTGCGTGTGGTGTAGATTTTAGGGTTTGGGTTAGGGTTAGGGATAGTTGCAGTCGGGTTAGGGGCTGTGCACTGGGTCCATTGGTGAGTGTTTGTGTGGCGTCTAGGGGTTAGTGTTTGCGGCATGTATACGGGTTAGTAATTATGTGCGGGGTAAATTTTCAATTTATTGCAAGCAGTGTGGTGGTTTGGGTTAGGGTTAGGGTAAGGGTTTGAGCAGTATTCAGGGACCTACATTAGCGGCGTGTCCATGGGTTAGTAGTTGTTTGCGGGAGACGGTTTAATTATAGTGTTTGTTTCCTAAATTTTATTGTTTGTCGTGTGTTGTGCTATGTGGTTGGCTTCAGTTTCTTCTACGTGGTTGCGGGCTCTGTGGCTGCCCTTCGGTTCTCGCGCGTCCGTCGTCGTCGTCGTCGTCGTCTGGAGCTGCATTGTCCATCTACAATGGTGGCTGAAGGCCATTTCTTCATAATTCAAGATTTTATATCCGGTACGTTTAGTGCTGTGCGGTAGTTGTTATTGTTTTTTTTGTCTCTTTCCTTTTCTTTTTTGTTTGTGTTTGTTGAGTTCAAATGTGGCAGCGTGCACTGTGGAGTCGTGTTCCTTGTCTCGCTGGACTCCTTTCTGAGGAGTGTGTTCTGTGTCGTGCACGCTGAACGGTCACTGGTCTGCGGGGAAAGTGCACGCGTCGAGGTCTGTGCAGATCGCGTGCCAGACGATCCGTCCAGCTATCGCGAGTGCTGCTGCTGGCGCCGCCGACTGAGATCTCGTGAGTGACGTCTTTTTCCAGAACCTTACAATCGTTGTGAAGCGTGTCGCTGTCGAAGAGCTTTGACAGTGCGACAAGGGTTAGCCGTACACCGTTGTTCCCGACTACAACATTGTCCGTGTAGGTGTACCTAACGGTGGTGACAACGCGAGTGATTCTGGCACGATCTCCCACCGGCCGAGATGTCTCGATACGTGCTTCTGACGGACAATGGAGGTGGTGACAACAGCGCTCGTGGCGTAGGTGACGTTAGGATCGAGCTCACTCAGCTCGAGCTTGTCGTGCCTACGTATCGCATGGATCGCACCTACACTGATCAGATGCGTCTCTCCAAGCAACTGTACTTCCACACGTGGGGTGCCAGACAAACCCAGAAGAGCATCACGGACGATGCGGGAACCATTGAACTCCTGCACAACACCGACATCCCACGCAAATTCCTCATCTTCTTCACGGATTTAAAAAGCAGAGACGAGCCTGCTCTGAAAACGAACAATCCCACCCATTCGTCCAACCGACTCGCCATGATTCATGCAAACATTTCACAGCTGCGCATCACGCTCAACGACGGGACGCTCTTCGACAGCCCGCTCAAGTTCGAGTGGATGTGTAGTCAGAACGAAGATGGTACCTACTTTTACGACTACAACAGGTCGTCCTACCTGCGCGGCTACAACCTCGTCCGCGAGTTCTTGGGCAAGTCCTACGGAGGTATGGAGATACCCATCACCGCGTCGGACTATTGCAACAACTTCTTCATGATACCGATCAACTTGAACTTGGATAGACACGTGGATAATCAGAAAGCTCGTGGTAATCTCACAGTCGGAGAAACCCTCTGCCAATTTGCAGAGTTCTTCATCGGGACTGACGAAGGTTTCTCCATCACCTTCTGCCATAGCTCTCATTGTTGCTCCGGTCTTCGGGATCTTATCCACCGGGCAAGCACTGAGCGTACATTTGTACTTTTTAGCGTCTCTCCACCATGACACCGCCGACACGAAGATGGCGTACTGTACAACCTTGTTCATTGTAAAATCTTCAGCGCAGAGAGTTGATGTCGTCTTCATATACACGTCGACGCCGACCTTCTTACCACCAGCGAAGCGACGGGAGAGGATAACTTCGTTGGAAAGAAGTTTGTGGATAACTTCTTTACCCGCTCCGATGCAATAGCACGCCGAATCGACGGCGATACCTTGATCGCCGTCTTCACGATTTCCGCCAGGTCCACGGGCAGTTCAATAGTCACTTGGGAGTATTTCCCTTTCCTAGCTATTCCATCTGCAATGAATACGGGTACCGTATTTTCGGGATAAAAGAATGTCAACTCAGAAAGTCAACTCTACCATCATCACTTCACTCCGATAAACCCGATCAACTGAACAATGTAATGCATATTCCGTAATTGTTTATCATCAGACCAATAATGAATGGCATGTATAACGTTTCACTGTCGTGAAACTGCTGCTGCTGCTGCTGCTGCTGCCGCTGCTGCTACTGCACGTCTGACTGTGCAATGCGATGGTGACCGTATGCCAGCGTAGATACACCATCAGGCAGGATGTATCGCTTACTATCAAAAGGAGATAGAGACGTTTTGGTCATAGTCTCGGTGTAGACGCGGTGAGCATGACTCCGAATAGCTGTCATCGGATGAGCAGAGACGGTCCGGGGGTGTCAGACATCGCTCGTAGTCGCTCAGGGTGAACTGCTTTGTCACACTCCTTTTAAGGTGGCTCACACCCTCTGCGCGCGCATCGTTTGAAAAGTGTAGATTTTCAGTAAATTTTTCGGTAGCGATGATTTTTGTGCGATCAATCGTTGTAGGAAACGTCTTCTCGCTTTTCTGCAATTCTGGCGACCTAGCTAGAACCTGCTGCTAGTGTCCCTCTTCACTCGTTCTTTCTCTGAAAGGGGAAGGCAGCACTCGCAGAAGATTTTCCAAGAATGCAATGTCGACTGGTGCTCGTACCATAAGAAGGGAGAAATCAAAGTCCGCTCTTGAATCATGCCTGAGTATTAGAAAATTATTTCAGAACACGCTTGTGTAGATTTCCTGCCAGTGCCACTGACATCTCGCGACCTTCAAATAATTATAACTTGCTCGATCATCTCCCGCACTGACTAGCAAATTCGTCAGGTAGCTGTGGATGGATCGATTCAGGGAGATCGAAGGTAAATACATCGAAGCACTTCAAACACGTTTCAAGACGCACTTCAATTTTTGTAATTGTGTCTTGAAAATTGTTTAGAACAATTCGTACTTCAATACGCTGTTGCGAGAATTGTATCCTCTGCTTGGGAGTCTCGACTGTTTTATTGCTGCATGGCTTTCCTCAACACCGTTCGCTGTACATGTATCGCGGAACCGTGCGGCAGATTGGATGGCATTGGAGGTGAATTTGATAATTTGTGACTGTGTCATCAACCAAGTGAGGACATCAAATATCAACAGGGACGCTCCGAAAATCACAAACGCTGCGAAATAGATATGAAATGGTCTTACACACTGGAGGGTATTCCACATTCATTGTGTCATATCTTTAGACTGTCCGAAAGTTTGTCGTGCCGTGCAACTTTCACAGACTAATCCGATAATTGGCATGTGGCCCTACTGGCACACACTCATGCGTATGCCGTTGAGTTTATCTATATGTGCACGCACATGTGTGACAGTGTATACAATACATATACAATTTTATTACGTATGCAAAATTAGGCAATCTATATGTACATATATGTGTGTGCACTCACTCCTATGACATAGAACGACAGTGCAGGCTATGTAAAGTCGCATCAATGTGTGTCACCCGGGTGTGTACATGCATGCGCGCTCGCGCGGGCGTTTTGTGTGCGCGCCTGGCATGGCATAACGCCGTTCAGTATGACTAGTGTTGAACTGTGGTAATTTGCCCCCCACCCCTCTTTTTTTCTGCTGGTGTTGGATATGCAACTAATGACATAAACTCGGTTGTTGAAAACGAGTGCCATGCCGCACCACAATGGATTGACAATAATATAATACAAGTAGCACTGTAAAAGCGCTGGTAATACTAAGTCTTATGTTGCAGCCATGGCAGTTGTGAGTAGCTTTCCAAGTCAAGCCTGCTGCAGAAAGTATTGCACTCTGACCAGCTGGAGTGGCCCAGGACTGCCAGTTGTGGAGAACAGGAGTTATGCTTGTATATACGCTTGTATTTACATGATGTACACAGTGTACTTCGAAGTAACGTTAGGTGTATTACTTGTGTGTTCTTCTGCCTGTGCGCGTGTACATGTGCTGGTCAGTGTGGAACCGCCATCCATATCAGATCATACAGCTGCTATCAGTCTCAACAGCTTGTATCTGGCAAATAGGGTTTTAGTGACTCGATTTTGCTTACTGTGTTCAACAGAGTGGCATTGCACACAGCTACTTGATGTAATAGTAGCATCTTGGAAATTTTATATTTTTGATAGTTAGCTTCAGTAGAAACTTCTCCAGTGTGGCTCTTAGCTTCATTACCACGGAGACCGGCTAAGCATTCAAGTAATGCACGAAGAACAGTGACTAGATGTGAAGTGAAAAGCCATTGGACCGTACCCCGTGGAATACGCATTTAGTATAGAAGTATGTCTTGCTATGTTGGCAGCAAACACTGTATATTATAATAATTACATTACCAGTAGAAAGTGCCCAATGTGCATTGCTTTAGCACTATGTTTTGGACAAAGCAGTCAACAAATTCCACATCACTATCGGCTTCATGTTGGAGAAAGTTGTGAAAAACACTAGAGCATACATGTACACTCAATACACATGCTCAGCTACATGTATGGCATTTAGTATGTGGGCGACTTCAAAGTTCTATTTTGGTAGTTTGCTTCAGTAGAAACTGTCTAAACTTGATCCAAAGCTCTACTACTATGTTCTGAAGATGTTGCAATCAAGTAATGTAAGACACGTATCTGCCGCATTGGAGCTAGTTGTGAAAACCTTTAGACCATACACTCAATGCACATGCTCAGCTATGGCATTTAGTATGTGGGCGACTTCAAAGTTCTATTTTGGTAGTTAGCTTCGGTGGAAACTGCTAAAACTTGATCCAAAGCTCTACTACTATGTTCTGAAGATGTTGCAATCAAGTAATGTAAGACACGTATCTGCCGCATTGGAGCCAGTTGTGAAAACCTTTAGACCATACACTCAATGCACAAGCTCAGCTATGGCATTTAGTATGTGGGCGACTTCAAAGTACTATTTTGGTAGTTAGCTTCGGTGGAAACTGCTAAAACATGATCCAAAGCTCTACTACTATGTTCGGAAGATGTTGCAATCAATTATTGTAAGACACGTATCTGTCGTATGGTGGAGTCAGGGGTTCTAAGGCGTTGGACAATGTCCCAGTGCAATGTGCTGATTCTTGAAATACGGCATCACTTGAAACTTCAAAGTTTTATTTCACGAGTTACCTTCGGTAGAACCTGCTCAAACTTGTTACACAGTACCATTATTAGGTTATGATAGCATAACCATCGAATACAGGGCAAGTCCAGAGTCAAATACTTGTGGGCGGGGCTAATATGTGGGACGTGTGCGCTGAAATGGGATGATTCCGAAAAGAGAAAAAAGGTCACCTTCTCGCAGAATTCTACCCACTTCTACAGCTTATGCTGATATTTAGCAAGTATACTACTGTCCTGATGTTGGACATCAAGAAAAAGGGGGTAACTACCGGTGCTACGGCCAAAAAAGTGGTTTTCCGGTATTTTTTGGCCTAAATTGGCAATTGTGAGTATGCTATGTTTGGCCCCTCCCTCGAGTGAAACCGGCCGGTAGAACTTGATAAAAATTTGTCTCCGTACACTAGATATCCAACGGAACAAAGTACAATCGTTTGTAGCCACGTTTCAAACAAAAAAAATTTGGACCCGAGGGGTAGGAGCCACCTTAACGCCTTTTGCACGCTGTCCGCTCTCCTCACCGTCATAGGCATACATCTTAGAGCGAAGCGCCACAAACCCAGTCATCAGACGTCCACCCAGTTCGTATTCTTGTTGCACGCACACAGTTTAACAAATAATGATAAAACAGAGTTTGTAATAAAAAGAAAAGACATTTCATTGATACAGTTTCAAAAAATTATTGTAACAGCACAACAAACACTTTTCAAAGTTACCATCACACTTTTCAAAGTTATCGTCACACTTTTCAAAGTTAAAGTCACACTTTCTTCAAAAGTTATGGTAACACAGGTACATCGCAGTACACGGGTGTTACACGTGATCTGGTAACACTATTTGACGGATGTCACGGTAAAGTAATCAAGGTCAAACCAAAAATTGACAGGGTCAAACCACAGCCTGTCAAGGGTTAGGGTTAGGGTTAGGGTTAGGGTTAGGGTTAGGAATTATTAAGAATGCTTAGCCAGTACTAATTATTAATATTTGTGCGGCGTCTGTGGGTTAGTAATAGCGTCATATCTACGCATTAGTGATTGCGAATGGGATAAATTTAATTCGTAAGTGGTGTAGTGTTTTTAGGGTTAGGGTTAGGGTTGGGGCCAGAGTTGGGATCAGGGTTGGGGTTGTGCACTACCCCATTCATTAATAGTTGTGTAGTGTCTATGGGTTAGTATTTGCCACATACCTATGGGTTAGTAATTGCGTAGTGTCTATGGGTTAGTATTTGCCCCATACCTATGGGTTAGTATTTGCCACACACCTATGGATTTGTAATTGCGTATGGGGTGAATAATTCCTTGTTCGTTGCGTGTGGTGTAGATTTTAGGGTTTGGGTTAGGGTTAGGGATAGTTGCAGTCGGGTTAGGGGCTGTGCACTGGGTCCATTGGTGAGTGTTTGTGTGGCGTCTAGGGGTTAGTGTTTGCGGCATGTATACGGGTTAGTAATTATGTGCGGGGTAAATTTTTAATTTATTGTAAGCAGTGTGGTGGTTTGGGTTAGGGTTAGGGTAAGGGTTTGAGCAGTATTCAGGGACCTACATTAGCGGCGTGGTCATGGGTTAGTAGTTGTTTGCGGGAGATGGTTTAATCATAGTGTTTGTTTCCTAAATTTTATTGTTTGTCGTGTGTTGTGCTATGTGGTTGGCTTCAGTTTCTTCTACGTGGTTGCGGGCTCTGTGGCTGCCCTTCGGTTCTCGCGCGTCCGTCGTCGTCGTCGTCGTCTGGAGCTGCATTGTCCATCTACAATGGTGGCTGAAGGCCATTTCTTCATAATTCAAGATTTTATATCCGGTACGTTTAGTGCTGTGCGGTAGTTGTTGTTGTATTTTTTGTCTTTTTCCTTTTCTTTTTTGTTTGTGTTTGTTGAGTTCAAATGTGGCAGCGTGCACTGTGGAGTCGTGTTCCTTGTCTCGCTGGACTCCTTTCTGAGGAGTGTGTTCTGTGTCGTGCACGGTGAACGGTCACTGGTCTGCGGGGAAAGTGCACGCGTCGAGGTCTGTGCAGATCGCGTGCCAGACGATCCGTCCAGCTATCGCGAGTGCTGCTGCTGGCGCCGCCGACTGAGATCTCGTGAGTGACGTCTTTTTCCAGAACCTTACGATCGTTGTGAAGCGTGTCGCTGTCGAAGAGCTTTGACAGTGCGAACAAGGGTTAGCCGTACACCGTTGTTCCCGACTACAACATTGTCCGTGTAGGTGTACCTAACGGTGGTGACAACGCGAGTGATTCTGGCACGATCTCCCACCGGCCGAGATGTCTCGATACGTGCTTCTGACGGACAATGGAGGTGGTGACAACAGCGCTCGTGGCGTAGGTGACGTTAGGATCGAGCTCACTCAGCTCGAGCTTGTCGTGCCTACGTATCGCATGGATCGCACCTACACTGATCAGATGCGTCTCTCCAAGCAACTGTACTTCCACACGTGGGGTGCCAGACAAACCCAGAAGAGCATCACGGACGATGCGGGAACCATTGAACTCCTGCACAACACCGACATCCCACGCAAATTCCTCATCTTCTTCACGGATTTAAAAAGCAGAGACGAGCCTGCTCTGAAAACGAACAATCCCACCCATTCGTCCAACCGACTCGCCATGATTCATGCAAACATTTCACAGCTGCGCATCACGCTCAACGACGAGACGCTCTTCGACAGCCCGCTCAAGTTCGAGTGGATGTGTAGTCAGAACAAAGATGGTACCTACTTTTACGACTACAACAGGTCGTCCTACCTGCGCGGCTACAACCTCGTCCGCGAGTTCTTGGGCAAGTCCTACGGAGGTATGGAGATACCCATCACCGCGTCGGACTATTGCAACAACTTCTTCATGATACCGATCAACTTGAACTTGGATAGACACGTGGATAATCAGAAAGCTCGTGGTAATCTCACAGTCGGAGAAACCCTCTGCCAATTTGCAGAGTTCTTCATCGGGAATGACGAAGGTTTCTCCATCACCTTCTGCCATAGCTCTCATTGTTGCTCCGGTCTTCGGGATCTTATCCACCGGGCAAGCACTGAGCGTACATTTGTACTTTTTAGCGTCTCTCCACCATGACACCGCCGACACGAAGATGGCGTACTGTACAACCTTGTTCATTGTAAAATCTTCAGCGCAGAGAGTTGATGTCGTCTTCATATACACGTCGACGCCGACCTTCTTACCACCAGCGAAGCGACGGGAGAGGATAACTTCGTTGGAAAGAAGTTTGTGGATAACTTCTTTACCCGCTCCGATGCAATAGCACGCCGAATCGACGGCGATACCTTGATCGCCGTCTTCACGATTTCCGCCAGGTCCACGGGCAGTTCAATAGTCACTTGGGAGTATTTCCCTTTCCTAGCTATTCCATCTGCAATGAATACGGGTACCGTATTTTCGGGATAAAAGAATGTCAACTCAGAAAGTCAACTCTACCATCATCACTTCACTCCGATAAACCCGATCAACTGAACAATGTAATGCATATTCCGTAATTGTTTATCATCAGACCAATAATGAATGGCATGTATAACGTTTCACTGTCGAGAAACTGCTGCTGCTGCTGCTGCTGCCGCTGCTGCTACTGCACGTCTGACTGTGCAATGCGATGGTGACCGTATGCCAGCGTAGATACACCATCAGGCAGGATGTATCGCTTACTATCAAAAGGAGATAGAGACGTTTTGGTCATAGTCTCGGTGTAGACGCGGTGAGCATGACTCCGAATAGCTGTCATCGGATGAGCAGAGACGGTCCGGGGGTGTCAGACATCGCTCGTAGTCGCTCAGGGTGAACTGCTTTGTCACACTCCTTTTAACGCCTTTTGCACGCTGTCCGCTCTCCTCACCGTCATAGGCATACATCTTAGAGCGAAGCGCCACAAACCCAGTCATCAGACGTCCACCCAGTTCGTATTCTTGTTGCACGCACACAGTTTAACAAATAATGATAAAAACAGAGTTTGTAATAAAAAGAAAAGACATTTCATTGATACAGTTTCAAAAAATTATTGTAACAGCACAACAAACACTTTTCAAAGTTACCATCACACTTTTCAAAGTTATCGTCACACTTTTCAAAGTTAAAGTCACACTTTCTTCAAAAGTTATGGTAACACAGGTACATCGCAGTACACGGGTGTTACACGTGATCTGGTAACACTATTTGACGGATGTCACGGTAAAGTAATCAAGGTCAAACCAAAAATTGACAGGGTCAAACCACAGCCTGTCAAGGGTTAGGGTTAGGGTTAGGGTTAGGGTTAGGGTTAGGAATTATTAAGAATGCTTAGCCAGTCCTAATTATTAATATTTGTGCGGCGTCTGTGGGTTAGTAATAGCGTCATATCTACGCATTAGTGATTGCGAATGGGATAAATTTAATTCGTAAGTGGTGTAGTGTTTTTAGGGTTAGGGTTAGGGTTGGGGCCAGAGTTGGGATCAGGGTTGGGGTTGTGCACTACCCCATTCATTAATAGTTGTGTAGTGTCTATGGGTTAGTATTTGCCACATACCTATGGGTTAGTAATTGCGTAGTGTCTATGGGTTAGTATTTGCCCCATACCTATGGGTTAGTATTTGCCACATACCTATGGGTTAGTATTTGCCACACACCTATGGATTTGTAATTGCGTATGGGGTGAATAATTCCTTGTTCGTTGCGTGTGGTGTAGATTTTAGGGTTTGGGTTAGGGTTAGGGATAGTTGCAGTCGGGTTAGGGGCTGTGCACTGGGTCCATTGGTGAGTGTTTGTGTGGCGTCTAGGGGTTAGTGTTTGCGGCATGTATACGGGTTAGTAATTATGTGCGGGGTAAATTATTAATTTATTGCAAGCAGTGTGGTGGTTTGGGTTAGGGTTAGGGTAAGGGTTTGAGCAGTATTCAGGGACCTACATTAGCGGCGTGTCCATGGGTTAGTAGTTGTTTGCGGGAGACGGTTTAATTATAGTGTTTGTTTCCTAAATTTTATTGTTTGTCGTGTGTTGTGCTATGTGGTTGGCTTCAGTTTCTTCTACGTGGTTGCGGGCTCTGTGGCTGCCCTTCGGTTCTCGCGCGTCCGTCGTCGTCGTCGTCGTCGTCGTCTGGAGCTGCATTGTCCATCTACAATGGTGGCTGAAGGTCATTTCTTCATAATTCAAGATTTTATATCCGGTACGTTTAGTGCTGTGCGGTAGTTGTTGTTGTATTTTTTGTCTTTTTCCTTTTCTTTTTTGTTCGTGTTTGTTGAGTTCAAATGTGGCAGCGTGCACTGTGGAGTCGTGTTCCTTGTCTCGCTGGACTCCTTTCTGAGGAGTGTGTTCTGTGTCGTGCACGGTGAACGGTCACTGGTCTGCGGGGAAAATGCACGCGTCGAGGTCTGTGCAGATCGCGTGCCAGACGATCCGTCCAGCTATCGCGAGTGCTGCTGCTGGCACCGCCGACTGAGATCTCGTGAGTGACGTCTTTTTCCAGAACCTTACAATCGTTGTGAAGCGTGTCACTGTCGAAGAGCTTTGACAGTGCGAACAAGGGTTAGCCGTACACCGTTGTTCCCGACTACAACATTGTCCGTGTAGGTGTACCTAACGGTGGTGACAACGCGAGTGATTCTGGCACGATCTCCCACCGGCCGAGATGTCTCGATACGTGCTTCTGACGGACAATGGAGGTGGTGACAACAGCGCTCGTGGCGTAGGTGACGTTAGGATCGAGCTCACTCAGCTCGAGCTTGTCGTGCCTACGTATCGCATGGATCGCACCTACACTGATCAGATGCGTCTCTCCAAGCAACTGTACTTCCACACGTGGGGTGCCAGACAAACCCAGAAGAGCATCACGGACGATGCGGGAACCATTGAACTCCTGCACAACACCGACATCCCACGCAAATTCCTCATCTTCTTCACGGATTTAAAAAGCAGAGACGAGCCTGCTCTGAAAACGAACAATCCCACCCATTCGTCCAACCGACTCGCCATGATTCATGCAAACATTTCACAGCTGCGCATCACGCTCAACGACGAGACGCTCTTCGACAGCCCGCTCAAGTTCGAGTGGATGTGTAGTCAGAACGAAGATGGTACCTACTTTTACGACTACAACAGGTCGTCCTACCTGCGCGGCTACAACCTCGTCCGCGAGTTCTTGGGCAAGTCCTACGGAGGTATGGAGATACCCATCACCGCGTCGGACTATTGCAACAACTTCTTCATGATACCGATCAACTTGAACTTGGATAGACACGTGGATAATCAGAAAGCTCGTGGTAATCTCACAGTCGGAGAAACCCTCTGCCAATTTGCAGAGTTCTTCATCGGGAATGACGAAGATTTCTCCATCACCTTCTGCCATAGCTCTCATTGTTGCTCCGGTCTTCGGGATCTTATCCACCGGGCAAGCACTGAGCGTACATTTGTACTTTTTAGCGTCTCTCCACCATGACACCGCCGACACGAAAATGGCGTACTGTACAACCTTGTTCATTGTAAAATCTTCAGCGCAGAGAGTTGATGTCGTCTTCATATACACGTCGACGCCGACCTTCTTACCACCAGCGACGGGAGAGGATAACTTCGTTGGAAAGAAGTTTGTGGATAACTTCTTTACCCGCTCCGATGCAATAGCACGCCGAATCGACGGCGATACCTTGATCGCCGTCTTCACGATTTCCGCCAGGTCCACGGGCAGTTCAATAGTCACTTGGGAGTATTTCCCTTTCCTAGCTATTCCATCTGCAATGAATACGGGTACCGTATTTTCGGGATAAAAGAATGTCAACTCAGAAAGTCAACTCTACCATCATCACTTCACTCCGATAAACCCGATCAACTGAACAATGTAATGCATATTCCGTAATTGTTTATCATCAGACCAATAATGAATGGCATGTATAACGTTTCACTGTCGAGAAACTGCTGCTGCTGCTGCTGCTGCCGCTGCTGCTACTGCACGTCTGACTGTGCAATGCGATGGTGACCGTATGCCAGCGTAGATACACCATCAGGCAGGATGTATCGCTTACTATCAAAAGGAGATAGAGACGTTTTGGTCATAGTCTCGGTGTAGACGCGGTGAGCATGACTCCGAATAGCTGTCATCGGATGAGCAGAGACGGTCCGGGGGTGTCAGACATCGCTCGTAGTCGCTCAGGGTGAACTGCTTTGTCACACTCCTTTTAACGCCTTTTGCACGCTGTCCGCTCTCCTCACCGTCATAGGCATACATCTTAGAGCGAAGCGCCACAAACCCAGTCATCAGACGTCCACCCAGTTCGTATTCTTGTTGCACGCACACAGTTTAACAAATAATGATAAAAACAGAGTTTGTAATAAAAATAAAAGACATTTCATTGATACATTTAAAAAAAATAATTGTAACAGCACAACAAACACTTTTCAAAGTTACCGTCACACTTTTCAAAGTTATCGTCACACTTTTCAAAGTTAAAGTCACACTTTCTTCAAAAGTTATGGTAACACAGGTACATCGCAGTACACGGGTGTTACACGTGATCTGGTAACACTATTTGACGGATGTCACGGTAAAGTAATCAAGGTCAAACCAAAAATTGACAGGGTCAAACCACAGCCTGTCAAGGGTTAGGGTTAGGGTTAGGGATAGTTGCAGTCGGGTTAGGGGCTGTGCACTGGGTCCATTGGTGAGTGTTTGTGTCGCATCTAGGGGTTAGTGTTTGCGGCATGTATACGGGTTAGTAATTATGTGCGGGGTAAATTTTTAATTTATTGTAAGCAGTGTGGTGGTTTGGGTTAGGGTTAGGGTAAGGGTTTGAGCAGTATTCAGGGACCTACATTAGCGGCGTGGTCATGGGTTAGTAGTTGTTTGCGGGAGACGGTTTAATTATAGTGTTTGTTTCCTAAATTTTATTGTTTGTCGTGTGTTGTGCTATGTGGTTGGCTTCAGTTTCTTCTACGTGGTTGCGGGCTCTGTGGCTGCCCTTCGGTTCTCGCGCGTCCGTCGTCGTCGTCGTCGTCGTCGTCTGGAGCTGCATTGTCCATCTACAATGGTGGCTGAAGGCCATTTCTTCATAATTCAAGATTTTATATCCGGTACGTTTAGTGCTGTGCGGTAGTTGTTGTTGTATTTTTTGTCTTTTTCCTTTTCTTTTTTGTTTGTGTTTGTTGAGTTCAAATGTGGCAGCGTGCACTGTGGAGTCGTGTTCCTTGTCTCGCTGGACTCCTTTCTGAGGAGTGTGTTCTGTGTCGTGCACGGTGAACGGTCACTGGTCTGCTGGGAAAGTGCACGCGTCGAGGTCTGTGCAGATCGCGTGCCAGACGATCCGTCCAGCTATCGCGAGTGCTGCTGCTGGCGCCGCCGACTGAGATCTCGTGAGTGACGTCTTTTTCCAGAACCTTACAATCGTTGTGAAGCGTGTCACTGTCGAAGAGCTTTGACAGTGCGAACAAGGGTTAGCCGTACACCGTTGTTCCCGACTACAACATTGTCCGTGTAGGTGTACCTAACGGTGGTGACAACGCGAGTGATTCTGGCACGATCTCCCACCGGCCGAGATGTCTCGATACGTGCTTCTGACGGACAATGGAGGTGGTGACAACAGCGCTCGTGGCGTAGGTGACGTTAGGATCGAGCTCACTCAGCTCGAGCTTGTCGTGCCTACGTATCGCATGGATCGCACCTACACTGATCAGATGCGTCTCTCCAAACAACTGTACTTCCACACGTGGGGTGCCAGACAAACCCAGAAGAGCATCACGGACGATGCGGGAACCATTGAACTCCTGCACAACACCGACATCCCACGCAAATTCCTCATCTTCTTCACGGATTTAAAAAGCAGAGACGAGCCTGCTCTGAAAACGAACAATCCCACCCATTCGTCCAACCGACTCGCCATGATTCATGCAAACATTTCACAGCTGCGCATCACGCTCAACGACGAGACGCTCTTCGACAGCCCGCTCAAGTTCGAGTGGATGTGTAGTCAGAACGAAGATGGTACCTACTTTTACGACTACAACAGGTCGTCCTACCTGCGCGGTTACAACCTCGTCCGCGAGTTCTTGGGCAAGTCCTACGGAGGTATGGAGATACCCATCACCGCGTCGGACTATTGCAACAACTTCTTCATGATACCGATCAACTTGAACTTGGATAGACACGTGGATAATCAGAAAGCTCGTGGTAATCTCACAGTCGGAGAAACCCTCTGCCAATTTGCAGAGTTCTTCATCGGGAATGACGAAGGTTTCTCCATCACCTTCTGCCATAGCTCTCATTGTTGCTCCGGTCTTCGGGATCTTATCCACCGGGCAAGCACTGAGCGTACATTTGTACTTTTTAGCGTCTCTCCACCATGACACCGCCGACACGAAGATGGCGTACTGTACAACCTTGTTCATTGTAAAATCTTCAGCGCAGAGAGTTGATGTCGTCTTCATATACACGTCGACGCCGACCTTCTTACCACCAGCGAAGCGACGGGAGAGGATAACTTCGTTGGAAAGAAGTTTGTGGATAACTTCTTTACCCGCTCCGATGCAATAGCACGCCGAATCGACGGCGATACCTTGATCGCCGTCTTCACGATTTCCGCCAGGTCCACGGGCAGTTCAATAGTCACTTGGGAGTATTTCCCTTTCCTAGCTATTCCATCTGCAATGAATACGGGTACCGTATTTTCGGGATAAAAGAATGTCAACTCAGAAAGTCAACTCTACCATCATCACTTCACTCCGATAAACCCGATCAACTGAACAATGTAATGCATATTCCGTAATTGTTTATCATCAGACCAATAATGAATGGCATGTATAACGTTTCACTGTCGAGAAACTGCTGCTGCTGCTGCTGCTGCCGCTGCTGCTACTGCACGTCTGACTGTGCAATGCGATGGTGACCGTATGCCAGCGTAGATACACCATCAGGCAGGATGTATCGCTTACTATCAAAAGGAGATAGAGACGTTTTGGTCATAGTCTCGGTGTAGACGCGGTGAGCATGACTCCGAATAGCTGTCATCGGATGAGCAGAGACGGTCCGGGGTGTCAGACATCGCTCGTAGTCGCTCAGGGTGAACTGCTTTGTCACACTCCTTTTAACGCCTTTTGCACGCTGTCCGCTCTCCTCACCGTCATAGGCATACATCTTAGAGCGAAGCGCCACAAACCCAGTCATCAGACGTCCACCCAGTTCGTATTCTTGTTGCACGCACACAGTTTAACCGTTTCACTGCCAGCTGACCACTCAAGGAGACAAGGCGCTCCCTGCCACGCTGTCAGCTGAGCTGTACACCCCCTACCTGCCAGGCACTTTTTACCTCCAGCTCGAAAAATTGAAAGGCCTACTTTTCCTGGATTTTTTGGTACTTTCTGTACGGAATATCGCTTTCCAAAGTATACATCGTAGGTAGACAACTCACAAAGGAAGCCATTGCCGTCGAAAAAAATCGCAAAATCCGAAGTACAAACGTGCTGCGCGATCTAGTGCCAGCCGCTGTGCAAAAATGCGTGTCATGTCATGCGAAAGTGCGCCCTGCGCCGCATGCGCTACATGCGTACATTAGTTAGAGTGCGGATGCAGTTTTAGGAGCTCCGCTCCTATCAGCCTTTCCGAGTCTGTAACTGTAACCTACAGGAGCTGTGACTTGTACTGCGGACTATGGCCACCAATGAGCATGTCGACCTGGCCCTTCTGACGTTCGACTGTCTACAAAACCTGGCCACCCGGACTGGCATCCCGAAAGCGGACTCCTTCTCACGGCCCGACCTGGTGGGAGCGCTCCGGAAGGAGGGGATTGGGTCCCACCCCATCCTGGAAGGTATGACCGGTATAGGACATGTCACGACTGCTTTGGCTGCATTGTCCTCGACAATAATGGACCTGAATAAAGAAATAGTGGCAATTAGGGTGGGAAGAGATGATGAAATTGCTTCCTTGAAGCTTGAAATTCAACAGCTGAGGCGGGAAATGGCTGACCTGCGAGATACTAGCGTACACACACAGCACGCCATGCCACACCAGTACAGCGACGTAGTACTAGGAACCGCCACACAAACTGCAAGTGCACGTGCGAGGCTCAGCACCACAACGGGCAGGTCTGTACCAACGTACGGTACACACGCCGGCAGTGGCAGCCTGCCAGGAGAAACGCGTGTGCAACAACCCAACACTACTACAAGTCGTAGTTCCAGCCCCGCAGCAGGCGTGCATGCATCCCGTAGGTCCAGCACTACTACAAGTCGTAGCTCCAGCCCCGCAGCAGGCCTGGATGCATCCCGTAGGTCCACCGATACTGAACAACAAGTACATGAATGGCAGGAACACCAGGGCAGACGCACTCGAGCCGCCCAGAGACAAAGGCACGCGGCAGATACTAGTAGTCAGTCCCAGCTAGCTCAAAGCATAACAAGGCGGGTGGAAAGATCCCGCTACACCAAGCCGGCTCGTGATAGCGAGCCGGCAGTAGACCTCACGGCATCACCCCGGGCCAAACGCAAAGTGTTTTACGTTGGCAACGTGCAGCCACACTGCTCCGCATCATCAATTGCTGAATGGTGCTCTGCCCGAGGAGTGCAGATTCAGGAAGGTGTCATATTTGCATCCAAGCACTTCAGAACTGCCTACGCACGGGTGACCGTCGAGGCAGCTGATGAGAACACAGTCGGTGACAAAGGGTTCTGGCCGGATGCTCTTTCGCACACGGTTAGGCCCTGGCGTTTAGCCGCGGACAGTTTTGACACCAGCAATGCCAACCAGGCAAACAACGTCCTCTCCTCAGGCCCAGCATGATGGCGCGACCACAGCTGAATCCACTGGCTCGGCCCTACTTCCCCCCTTGCCAGGGTAAACTGACCTTGCTTTCCGTAAATTGCCGCTCAATCGTTAACAAATCTGCCGAACTGTCTGTCATTGCTGATTTCAACAAACCTGATGTCATCTGTCTAAATGAAACATGGCTAAATCCAAGCATAGCGCTCACCATCTCCGGTTATACCACATTTCGTCGCGACCGACCACCTCATGATAACAAATCCGGTACGGCAACCAGAGGATATGGTGGAGTTGCGATTCTTGTCCGGCAAAATCGCTTCGGAAGAGTCCAAGTTCGCGACGACCTTGCTCGTCCGACCTGTGAATCCGTATGGGTTGAGCTTCACCCAATCTTAGGCTCCCCGACACCCATCCTCGTCTGCTGTACCTACCGTCCGCCCTCAGTCAAAACCACGGAAATAGACCACTTCTGTGATATGCTAGCTAGTGCTTTGGTAACCGTTCCCATGTCATCGTACCATGTCATAATGGCTGGGGACTTCAACAGTAAGCACAAACGGTGGTGCCCATCGGATTTAACGTGTCCTGCTGGGGCGGCACTTTTTCGCACCCTTACCTGCTTCGGTTTGGATCAGCTGGTGCAGAGTCCAACGCACACAACATCTTCCGGAACACAGTCATGTCTAGACCTTGTCTTCACAAACCAACCCCTGCTGGCGACGGACGTTCACACAGCTTGCGCTCTTGGCTCCTCGGACCATCTCATGGTTTCATGCCAGTTCGCCGTCTCATTGCCCTCGGACCCAGACCTGCCACTTCCTTCTCGCAAACCGTTCCCATATCGCTTCCGTCGAGTTCCCTCTCAGTGCTGGGACTCTATGAACGCTGATTTCTCCTGCCACGACTGGTCGTTTCTGCAACCAGAAGGCTCTCCAACTGTTGACGCCGCGGTAGATCACTTTGCAGCCGTCCTTGAACGAGGGTTCCAACAGCACCTCTCTAACTTTGCTATCGGCTACAACAACCGGAAACATTCCAACCCAACATCCTCGACATCTAGTCCCCCATGGGTGACACGGTCCCTCGTATCTGAAGTGAAGCGCAAGCGTGATCTTTTCAGCATCTACAAGAAATTCCCAACGCCGGTTAACCGGGAGGCTTACCGAGTTCAACGCAACTTCGTCAAGCACCTTTCTCGTACCTCACACCGCTCCTTTCTAAACTCTCTTTCTGCAACACTCTCCTCCCCCGATCGCCCATCACTCCACCAATTCATTCGCAACCAGTGCCGCGGGACCTCCCGCGCGCCAATCCAGTACCTGACGGACTCCAATGGCAACCGCCAGCACGATGTGAAGGCGATTGCAGACACACTGAACAAGCAGTTTGTTTCATCCGGCATTCCGGAGGATCCGAATTGGGACATTCCATCGCTGTCCCCAGCCCCTGAACTTAGCGCACCACTCACACGCGTCGTTACCACGACTGCTACCGTCTGTAAGCACCTCAAACTCCTGAAGAATTGTAAGTCCCCTGGCGAAGATGGCATACCCAATGAGGTTCTCAAATGGCTTGCGCCATCTCTGTCCTATCCCTTGTGCCTGCTCTTTAACATGTCATATCGTACAGGAGCATTTCCGTCCGTCTGGAAATCTGCTGTTATCGTCCCGATCTATAAGAAAGGCCAACGCTCTCAGGCTGGCAACTACAGACCAATCTCTCTCCTTCCCGCTGTGTCAAAGGTCTGTGAACGTATTTCCTTTGAGTCTCTGTACTGCCACGTCACCCCAGCGCTTTCACCATCTCAATCCGGTTTCTGCCGTGGAGACTCCACAACTTTCCAACTAACACGTCTAGTACAAGACATCTACACCCAGCGGAACCTCAGGCGGCATGTTGGCATCGTGTTCTTTGACCTAGCGAAAGCTTTCGACACCGTCTGGCATCGTGGTCTGCTTGCAAAGCTAGAGTCCGTCTTCTTGGTACATGGTCCAGCCCTGCAATGGCTCTCATCCTATCTTTCCTGCCGCCACCAGACTGTCAGAGTATCTACCTCCCTATCAGACCCATTACTAGTCGTGTCTGGGGTACCCCAGGGGTCCATACTTGGGCCGCTCCTATTTCTACTGTACGTTAATGACTTGCCAGCCCTTGTGCCAAATGTAAGTCTTTTTGCTGACGACACTGCTCTGATGTGCTCCGACAGCTCGGCAGACAACCTCACGGCCTCCATGCAGTCCGGGGTCAATGCTACAGTAACATGGATGGAAACCTGGAAACTGAAGCCCAACCTCGCCAAAACCGAGGCCATGTTCTTCTCTCCCTCGCCCCCACTCAGCTTCTGTATTTTCCTGGTCTAAATAGTACACCTATTAAAGTTGTTAACGAGCACAAGCACCTGGGCGTTATTCTCGACCGCCAACTCTCCTGGTCTCCACAAGTCCAGTCTGTGTGCAAGCGTGCGAGTGCGTCCTTAGGTATGCTACAACCCCACTGCCAACACTTGAATGATAACTGCAGAAAATTGTTCTTTAAGTCGTACATTTTGCCTATATTTGACTATTGCGATATAGCTTGGTGCGGGTTGTCTCAGACTTTACTCCACAGACTGGAAGTACATCAACGCTTGCTTCTGAAAATTCTGTTTCGAAAAGACCAAACATTTGCCTCCCTTTGTCTTTATAAACTTGCTTCCACGCACCCTCTTCTTGCCCGACATCAGCAGCATCTTTGTATCCTTGTGCAAAAAATCTTCCTAGCCCAAGTCCCGAAACATATTGCCAAGTACAACTGGTTTGTTACCACTAGACCAACACGCAATGCCTTATCACTGCCCCGAGCTAGTTCCTCTCTGTTTTTGAAATCCCCTTTCTTCTCAGCATACTCCCTTTGGTCTAACCTGCCTACTAGCATTAAGACATGCCAGGATATCAGGAAATTCAAAGTCCAGCTTTCCACACTGTCTCATCCGAAGTGATCCCATGTATTACTAATGTGCCTCCCTTTCTTTTTCTCTCCCTATCTCCTTTCCCTCTCTGACAGCATCTTTCTTTTTCTCCCTTTTAGCTTGCCGTGGTTGGCTATCACCTGACCTCTCATGTTTATTGGCAGTCTTCGGACGGGCCAGGAGATGTTGAATAAATAAATAAATAAATAAATGCACTATGTACACGATCGGCCCGGACACTCGCGAAGTAAAGTTAGTTAGTTGTTGTTTTGGAGAGAGAAGCAGATCCTTTTTTTTTTTCGTTCGCAGGGATTGAAAGATATGCCAGTGGACAGGAGAGCTACAACACTGGAAGCAGAAGAGATGGCTTGCGGAATCTTCTCTATCTTCGTGGCAACAGGACTTCAGTTGCGAGAGACTTTCGTCCTGTCGTTGCGGACGAAATTCTTGTTGCTGCCACCAGAAAACTCGGAGAACGAAACGTTCGTAAGTCGTTTGGTGAAGCGGATCGTGTCGGTGAACGGCTGCGGAATGTTCTGCCGCCATGGTGGTCGTTTGTTCTCCCAATTAGCAGCAGTCCAAATACTTTTCAACTTCGGAGAGTGAAGCGCTTCCCTGTTCCGTTGACAAGCGCGGCGTTCACGGGTGTAATTCACTTTCGCATCAGCTTGCAGTAGATCGTCAGGTATTGAGCCAGAGGTAGGTGTCGTTGTAGAAAGAATATAATTATGTTGTAGCTGGCATACCTGTAGTGTCTCTTGTCCGTGCTGGTCGCCATTGTAACGTGGTAATTCTTAGAAAATTTTAGTTCTGGACCCAGTGACCGCCGCCAGCGCTGTTTCCGTCAAGTTTGCAGTGAATGCGTCCGCGAGGAATCTATCGTCTGGTTGTCTCTACCCGTGACTCCAACCGCCTATCGCAACGGATAGCCGTCTGGAGTCTTGGGTAATAGCTAGGCATCAAGTCTGAACCAAATTCCATGCTCCGTGCAATGAAAGTTGACGGGAAAGAGGAAAATACTCGCACCGACTCAGCGAGGTGGAAGTGCGTGAGAACCGGTTTCTTCCTCGCCGATCGGCTAAAAATCGGATGCGGATTTTCAACGACGCTGGTTCGATTTTTTTCAAATGGCAACCCATACTTCTGGAAGCGTATTTCGATGGGTATGGACATCTTCCAGGGCCCAGTGGCCGTCTACCACGGCTAAACATCTCCAATATTCGAAAATAGAGGCACAAACTGGGTGAGGTCTGCCTGTCGACTTCCGTCGACAACAGCACTGGGGACTGCATGTTTACTCGTCGACGCAAGTCGACAATGGCACTCGGAGTGCATGAATGCGCTGTCGACTACAGTCGACAGCGGCAGTGAAAGGGTTAACAAATAATGATAAAAACAGAGTTTGTAATAAAAATAAAAGACATTTCATTGATACATTTAAAAAAAATTATTGTAACAGCACAACAAACACTTTTCAAAGTTACCATCACACTTTTCAAAGTTATCGTCACACTTTTCAAAGTTAAAGTCACACTTTCTTCAAAAGTTATGGTAACACAGGTACATCGCAGTACACGGGTGTTACACGTGATCTGGTAACACTATTTGACGGATGTCACGGTAAAGTAATCAAGGTCAAACCAAAAATTGACAGGGTCAAACCACAGCCTGTCAAGGGTTAGGGTTAGGGTTAGGGTTAGGGTTAGGGTTAGGAATTATTAAGAATACTTAGCCAGTACTAATTATTAATATTTGTGCGGCGTCTGTGGGTTAGTAATAGCGTCATATCTACGCATTAGTGATTGCGAATGGGATAAATTTAATTCGTAAGTGGTGTAGTGTTTTTAGGGTTAGGGTTAGGGTTGGGGCCAGAGTTGGGATCAGGGTTGGGGTTGTGCACTACCCCATTCATTAATAGTTGTGTAGTGTCTATGGGTTAGTATTTGCCACATACGTATGAGTTAGTAATTGCATAGTGTCTATGGGTTAGTATTTGCCCCATACCTATGGGTTAGTATTTGCCACACACCTATGGATTTGTAATTGCGTATGGGGTGAATAATTCCTTGTTCGTTGCATGTGGTGTAGATTTTAGGGTTTGGGTTAGGGTTAGGGATAGTTGCAGTCGGGTTAGGGGCTGTGCACTGGGTCCATTGGTGAGTGTTTGTGTGGCGTCTAGGGGTTAGTGTTTGCGGCATGTATACGGGTTAGTAATTATGTGCGGGGTAAATTATTAATTTATTGCAAGCAGTGTGGTGGTTTGGGTTAGGGTTAGGGTAAGGGTTTGAGCAGTATTCAGGGACCTACATTAGCGGCGTGTCCATGGGTTAGTAGTTGTTTGCGGGAGACGGTTTAATTATAGTGTTTGTTTCCTAAATTTTATTGTTTGTCGTGTGTTGTGCTATGTGGTTGGCTTCAGTTTCTTCTACGTGGTTGCGGGCTCTGTGGCTGCCCTTCGGTTCTCGCGCGTCCGTCGTCGTCGTCTGGAGCTGCATTGTCCATCTACAATGGTGGCTGAAGGCCATTTCTTCATAATTCAAGATTTTATATCCGGTACGTTTAGTGCTGTGCGGTAGTTGTTGTTGTATTTTTTGTCTTTTTCCTTTTCTTTTTTGTTCGTGTTTGTTGAGTTCAAATGTGGCAGCGTGCACTGTGGAGTCGTGTTCCTTGTCTCGCTGGACTCCTTTCTGAGGAGTGTGTTCTGTGTCGTGCACGCTGAACGGTCACTGGTCTGCGGGGAAAATGCACGCGTCGAGGTCTGTGCAGATCGCGTGCCAGACGATCCGTCCAGCTATCGCGAGTGCTGCTGCTGGCACCGCCGACTGAGATCTCGTGAGTGACGTCTTTTTCCAGAACCTTACAATCGTTGTGAAGCGTGTCGCTGTCGAAGAGCTTTGACAGTGCGAACAAGGGTTAGCCGTACACCGTTGTTCCCGACTACAACATTGTCCGTGTAGGTGTACCTAACGGTGGTGACAACGCGAGTGATTCTGGCACGATCTCCCACCGGCCGAGATGTCTCGATACGTGCTTCTGACGGACAATGGAGGTGGGGACAACAGCGCTCGTGGCGTAGGTGACGTTAGGATCGAGCTCACTCAGCTCGAGCTTGTCGTGCCTACGTATCGCATGGATCGCACCTACACTGATCAGATGCGTCTCTCCAAGCAACTGTACTTCCACACGTGGGGTGCCAGACAAACCCAGAAGAGCATCACGGACGATGCGGGAACCATTGAACTCCTGCACAACACCGACATCCCACGCAAACTCCTCATCTTCTTCACGGATTTAAAAAGCAGAGACGAGCCTGCTCTGAAAACGAACAATCCCACCCATTTGTCCAACCGACTCGCCATGATTCATGCAAACATTTCACAGCTGCGCATCACGCTCAACGACGAGACGCTCTTCGACAGCCCGCTCAAGTTCGAGTGGATGTGTAGTCAGAACGAAGATGGTACCTACTTTTACGACTACAACAGGTCGTCCTACCTGCGCGGTTACAACCTCGTCCGCGAGTTCTTGGGCAAGTCCTACGGAGGTATGGAGAAACCCATCACCACGTCGGACTATTGCAACAACTTCTTCATGATACCGATCAACTTGAACTTGGATAGACACGTGGATAATCAGAAAGCTCGTGGTAATCTCACAGTCGGAGAAACCCTCTGCCAATTTGCAGAGTTCTTCATCGGGAATGACGAAGGTTTCTCCATCACCTTCTGCCATAGCTCTCATTGTTGCTCCGGTCTTCGGGATCTTATCCACCGGGCAAGCACTGAGCGTACATTTGTACTTTTTAGCGTCTCTCCACCATGACACCGCCGACACGAAGATGGCGTACTGTACAACCTTGTTCATTGTAAAATCTTCAGCGCAGAGAGTTGATGTCGTCTTCATATACACGTCGACGCCGACCTTCTTACCACCAGCGACGGGAGAGGATAACTTCGTTGGAAAGAAGTTTGTGGATAACTTCTTTACCCGCTCCGATGCAATAGCACGCCGAATCGACGGCGATACCTTGATCGCCGTCTTCACGATTTCCGCCAGGTCCACGGGCAGTTCAATAGTCACTTGGGAGTATTTCCCTTTCCTAGCTATTCCATCTGAACCATCTGCAATGAATACGGGTACCGTATTTTCGGGATAAAAGAATGTCAACTCAGAAAGTCAACTCTACCATCATCACTTCACTCCGATAAACCCGATCAACTGAACAATGTAATGCATATTCCGTAATTGTTTATCATCAGACCAATAATGAATGGCATGTATAACGTTTCACTGTCGAGAAACTGCTGCTGCTGCTGCTGCTGCCGCTGCTGCTACTGCACGTCTGACTGTGCAATGCGATGGTGACCGTATGCCAGCGTAGATACACCATCAGGCAGGATGTATCGCTTACTATCAAAAGGAGATAGAGACGTTTTGGTCATAGTCTCGGTGTAGACGCGGTGAGCATGACTCCGAATAGCTGTCATCGGATGAGCAGAGACGGTCCGGGGTGTCAGACATCGCTCGTAGTCGCTCAGGGTGAACTGCTTTGTCACACTCCTTTTAACCCTTTGCATGCTGGCCTGTTTTCCACAGTAATCTGGCACTCCAGAGTACGGACTCTCCTGGTGGAGTTTGGGTGCACTGCTCGGAACCAAATTTATTCTCACTTCAGTTCACCTGGATGGAATTTCCTCATCCTGGGCTTGTTGGAAAGATCAGGACCAGGCGAATCCATCCTGGAAGCTCTCAGGTCCACAGCTCCACCAGGGCCACTTCCATGACCTCTCCAAACTGGCCCACCATGCCTCGGAACGAAACAACAACTCAGTCACAAATTCTTTTTCGGCTCCTTGCTCAAATTCAACCGATTTTCACGATTCAAACTGCTCTGCAAAGCTGAGTTCCACGAGCTTAATTTGATGTCCATAACGCATGCGCAGGGCAAAAGGGAAATCCCCTGGCACGCTCCAAAAAACTGCGAAGTCACGATCAAAAAAATTCGCGATCACTCCAGCCCGTGATTTCCGTGTTCATTTTGTCGCCGCTCAGTGAATCTTTATCCTATCGCAAAGAACTTTATATCTCTGGAAAGCTAAGCTCAATACCTTTCCAACGGTGTATCGTATGTGGAGATCGGATACTCTTTCACAGAGTAACGATACTTTGTACACTGGTCTATTCACCACGTACACGACGGAAACCGAAGCGCGTGTATACACGTCCTCAGAGAACCGGCATGGGGTTCAGGCGCGTGTATACAGGTCATCCGCACGCAAAGGGTTAACGCCTTTTGCACGCTGTCCGCTCTCCTCACCGTCATAGGCATACATCTTAGAGCGAAGCGCCACAAACCCAGTCATCAGACGTCCACCCAGTTCGTATTCTTGTTGCACGCACACAGTTTAACAAATAATGATAAAAACAGAGTTTGTAATAAAAATAAAAGACATTTCATTGATACATTTTAAAAAAATAATTGTAACAGCACAACAAACACTTTTCAAAGTTACCGTCACACTTTTCAAAGTTATCGTCACACTTTTCAAAGTTAAAGTCACACTTTCTTCAAAAGTTATGGTAACACAGGTACATCGCAGTACACGGGTGTTACACGTGATCTGGTAACACTATTTGACGGATGTCACGGTAAAGTAATCAAGGTCAAACCAAAAATTGACAGGGTCAAACCACAGCCTGTCAAGGGTTAGGGTTAGGGTTAGGGTTAGGGTTAGGGTTAGGAATTATTAAGAATGCTTAGCCAGTCCTAATTATTAATATTTGTGCGGCGTCTGTGGGTTAGTAATAGCGTCATATCTACGCATTAGTGATTGCGAATGGGATAAATTTAATTCGTAAGTGGTGTAGTGTTTTTAGGGTTAGGGTTAGGGTTGGGGCCAGAGTTGGGATCAGGGTTGGGGTTGTGCACTACCCCATTCATTAATAGTTGTGTAGTGTCTATGGGTTAGTATTTGCCACATACGTATGGGTTAGTAATTGCATAGTGTCTATGGGTTAGTATTTGCCCCATACCTATGGGTTAGTATTTGCCACACACCTATGGATTTGTAATTGCGTATGGGGTGAATAATTCCTTGTTCGTTGCATGTGGTGTAGATTTTAGGGTTTGGGTTAGGGTTAGGGATAGTTGCAGTCGGGTTAGGGGCTGTGCACTGGGTCCATTGGTGAGTGTTTGTGTGGCGTCTAGGGGTTAGTGTTTGCGGCATGTATACGGGTTAGTAATTATGTGCGGGGTAAATTATTAATTTATTGCAAGCAGTGTGGTGGTTTGGGTTAGGGTTAGGGTAAGGGTTTGAGCAGTATTCAGGGACCTACATTAGCGGCGTGTCCATGGGTTAGTAGTTGTTTGCGGGAGACGGTTTAATTATAGTGTTTGTTTCCTAAATTTTATTGTTTGTCGTGTGTTGTGCTATGTGGTTGGCTTCAGTTTCTTCTACGTGGTTGCGGGCTCTGTGGCTGCCCTTCGGTTCTCGCGCGTCCGTCGTCGTCGTCTGGAGCTGCATTGTCCATCTACAATGGTGGCTGAAGGCCATTTCTTCATAATTCAAGATTTTATATCCGGTACGTTTAGTGCTGTGCGGTAGTTGTTGTTGTATTTTTTTGTCTTTTTCCTTTTCTTTTTTGTTCGTGTTTGTTGAGTTCAAATGTGGCAGCGTGCACTGTGGAGTCGTGTTCCTTGTCTCGCTGGACTCCTTTCTGAGGAGTGTGTTCTGTGTCGTGCACGCTGAACGGTCACTGGTCTGCGGGGAAAATGCACGCGTCGAGGTCTGTGCAGATCGCGTGCCAGACGATCCGTCCAGCTATCGCGAGTGCTGCTGCTGGCACCGCCGACTGAGATCTCGTGAGTGACGTCTTTTTCCAGAACCTTACAATCGTTGTGAAGCGTGTCGCTGTCGAAGAGCTTTGACAGTGCGAACAAGGGTTAGCCGTACACCGTTGTTCCCGACTACAACATTGTCCGTGTAGGTGTACCTAACGGTGGTGACAACGCGAGTGATTCTGGCACGATCTCCCACCGGCCGAGATGTCTCGATACGTGCTTCTGACGGACAATGGAGGTGGGGACAACAGCGCTCGTGGCGTAGGTGACGTTAGGATCGAGCTCACTCAGCTCGAGCTTGTCGTGCCTACGTATCGCATGGATCGCACCTACACTGATCAGATGCGTCTCTCCAAGCAACTGTACTTCCACACGTGGGGTGCCAGACAAACCCAGAAGAGCATCACGGACGATGCGGGAACCATTGAACTCCTGCACAACACCGACATCCCACGCAAACTCCTCATCTTCTTCACGGATTTAAAAAGCAGAGACGAGCCTGCTCTGAAAACGAACAATCCCACCCATTTGTCCAACCGACTCGCCATGATTCATGCAAACATTTCACAGCTGCGCATCACGCTCAACGACGAGACGCTCTTCGACAGCCCGCTCAAGTTCGAGTGGATGTGTAGTCAGAACGAAGATGGTACCTACTTTTACGACTACAACAGGTCGTCCTACCTGCGCGGTTACAACCTCGTCCGCGAGTTCTTGGGCAAGTCCTACGGAGGTATGGAGAAACCCATCACCGCGTCGGACTATTGCAACAACTTCTTCATGATACCGATCAACTTGAACTTGGATAGACACGTGGATAATCAGAAAGCTCGTGGTAATCTCACAGTCGGAGAAACCCTCTGCCAATTTGCAGAGTTCTTCATCGGGAATGACGAAGGTTTCTCCATCACCTTCTGCCATAGCTCTCATTGTTGCTCCGGTCTTCGGGATCTTATCCACCGGGCAAGCACTGAGCGTACATTTGTACTTTTTAGCGTCTCTCCACCATGACACCGCCGACACGAAGATGGCGTACTGTACAACCTTGTTCATTGTAAAATCTTCAGCGCAGAGAGTTGATGTCGTCTTCATATACACGTCGACGCCGACCTTCTTACCACCAGCGACGGGAGAGGATAACTTCGTTGGAAAGAAGTTTGTGGATAACTTCTTTACCCGCTCCGATGCAATAGCACGCCGAATCGACGGCGATACCTTGATCGCCGTCTTCACGATTTCCGCCAGGTCCACGGGCAGTTCAATAGTCACTTGGGAGTATTTCCCTTTCCTAGCTATTCCATCTGAACCATCTGCAATGAATACGGGTACCGTATTTTCGGGATAAAAGAATGTCAACTCAGAAAGTCAACTCTACCATCATCACTTCACTCCGATAAACCCGATCAACTGAACAATGTAATGCATATTCCGTAATTGTTTATCATCAGACCAATAATGAATGGCATGTATAACGTTTCACTGTCGAGAAACTGCTGCTGCTGCTGCTGCTGCCGCTGCTGCTACTGCACGTCTGACTGTGCAATGCGATGGTGACCGTATGCCAGCGTAGATACACCATCAGGCAGGATGTATCGCTTACTATCAAAAGGAGATAGAGACGTTTTGGTCATAGTCTCGGTGTAGACGCGGTGAGCATGACTCCGAATAGCTGTCATCGGATGAGCAGAGACGGTCCGGTGTGTCAGACATCGCTCGTAGTCGCTCAGGGTGAACTGCTTTGTCACACTCCTTTTAACCCTTTGCATGCTGGCCTGTTTTCCACAGTAATCTGGCACTCCAGAGTACGGACTCTCCTGGTGGAGTTTGGGTGCACTGCTCGGAACCAAATTTATTCTCACTTCAGTTCACCTGGATGGAATTTCCTCATCCTGGGCTTGTTGGAAAGATCAGGACCAGGCGAATCCATCCTGGAAGCTCTCAGGTCCACAGCTCCACCAGGGCCACTTCCATGACCTCTCCAAACTGGCCCACCATGCCTCGGAACGAAACAACAACTCAGTCACAAATTCTTTTTCGGCTCCTTGCTCAAATTCAACCGATTTTCACGATTCAAACTGCTCTGCAAAGCTGAGTTCCACGAGCTTAATTTGATGTCCATAACGCATGCGCAGGGCAAAAGGGAAATCCCCTGGCACGCTCCAAAAAACTGCGAAGTCACGATCAAAAAAATTCGCGATCACTCCAGCCCGTGATTTCCGTGTTCATTTTGTCGCCGCTCAGTGAATCTTTATCCTATCGCAAAGAACTTTATATCTCTGGAAAGCTAAGCTCAATACCTTTCCAACGGTGTATCGTATGTGGAGATCGGATACTCTTTCACAGAGTAACGATACTTTGTACACTGGTCTATTCACCACGTACACGACGGAAACCGAAGCGCGTGTATACACGTCCTCAGAGAACCGGCATGGGGTTCAGGCGCGTGTATACAGGTCATCCGCACGCAAAGGGTTAACGCCTTTTGCACGCTGTCCGCTCTCCTCACCGTCATAGGCATACATCTTAGAGCGAAGCGCCACAAACCCAGTCATCAGACGTCCACCCAGTTCGTATTCTTGTTGCACGCACACAGTTTAACAAATAATGATAAAAACAGAGTTTGTAATAAAAATAAAAGACATTTCATTGATACATTTTAAAAAAATAATTGTAACAGCACAACAAACACTTTTCAAAGTTACCGTCACACTTTTCAAAGTTATCGTCACACTTTTCAAAGTTAAAGTCACACTTTCTTCAAAAGTTATGGTAACACAGGTACATCGCAGTACACGGGTGTTACACGTGATCTGGTAACACTATTTGACGGATGTCACGGTAAAGTAATCAAGGTCAAACCAAAAATTGACAGGGTCAAACCACAGCCTGTCAAGGGTTAGGGTTAGGGTTAGGAATTATTAAGAATGCTTAGCCAGTACTAATGGTTCACAATATTGGTTGACGCCATGTCATCCATGAATTGAGAATAATAATGATAATGCCGGCTTCGCCACCCGGTGCCGTGAATCAATATTTCAGAGGCTCAGACCGACTCCCCTTCAATCAGTAGTTGGGGGCGTCAATGTTTGGCCCTTAGTCCCAGAGTGCGGGGTGTTCGGCAGTTATGCACCCCTGCATTCCCTCAGGCATTCTCCTAGCTGGTCTATGGGCACCCATCCCACTCTTATGGGAGGCACGGGTCAGATCACAGTGCACAGCAAATTGCAAATTTGTTTTTATTAATAATGAAATGAATATAACTAAGTGCGCACTCATATCACAACCATGGGGACGAATCATGTATTCCAGAACGTTTTCTTGTCACTATTATCAATGGAATTCATGACTAAAGAGAATGATGAAACTACAATAGGATTTATACACTTGGAGTGGAACAGCGAGGATACAAGCATAGTAAGAAAAAAAGCGCAAACCTAGGAACAATTTGCACAGGTAATAAACTATAGGTGAGGTGAGAAATGATAGGAAATTCAGCAAGTGCAGTGTGACAATGGACATGCATGTGCAAGTGTGTGTGAGTGCGAATTTATTGGAATAGCGTAAGTGCGGTGACATTTTCTTTTTGTTTACAAAGATTTGGATCACGAATGCGAATGTAGACTGCTTCTAGAACTTTCAACTGCTTGAAACTACTTGCAGAACGAACAACACTGAACCAAGAATCATCATAACTTTCACGACACACGGGGTTAGACAACAAATGCAATTTAATTGCCGATGTATTCTTCTTCTTCTCACCGCCTCCGCCTTCACTTGGTTTCTGACCGCCACCGTCCTTCACACCATCTGCACCATCATCGTCATCATCGTCATCGTCCTCTTCATTATCGCTGCCACCTTCACCTGTCGTCGGCTCTCCCAGCAACTGACAGCTGCTATAGAGCTCGTTCCTTAACAACAGGTGTAGTTGTTCACGGAGGTTAGCAGTGCATCTGTACTGTAGTGAGTTCAATGTCTGTGAGATTGATGATGGTGTTGGTGTTAATAGATATTGAACCAAAACGCTTGTTCCTAAGCCTTTTGATATTCTTTGAATACTTAGCAATGAGTCGGGTCTGCAGTTTATCATCGTTCTCCGAAATGAGCATGGAAAAGCGGAGAAAGTCATGCTCCGAAAGAAATGCACGGGCTTGACGATACAGCCACCGGAATTGTGACCGTACTTTGCCCAAGGTATCAGTAGACCTAGCTATGTCATCTCTAATGAATGTTTTTTCGATGGCCAAAGACTGGTACCCTTTGGCTTTCTGCACTCTCTTCTTGCACATGCATGTCCATTGTCACACTGCACTTGCTGAATTTCCTATCATTTCTCACCTCACCTATAGTTTATTACCCGTGCAAATTGTTCCTAGGTTTGTTCTATTTTTCTTACTATGCTTGTATCCTCGCTGTTCCACTCCAAGTGTATAAATCCTATTGTAGTTTCATCATTCTCTTATATAATACAAATATTCCCCTAAAAAGTGAAAGTGATTAAATGACAAGGGAAAGAAAAGAAAAAGATACGTCTGTGCACGTGTGCATACATGTGTGTGTGTGTGTGTGTGTGTGTGTGTGTGTGTGTGTGTGTTTGTGTGGGTATGCGTGTGTGTGATGTACATGATATTGTCGCTGCTGTACGTAGGAGCTAGGAGAGCGATTTACAGCTGTTGGTATGTGTGATGACGCAATTGCATCCTATCTCAAGGTAAGTAACTAAGTGTCTGGGAGTGTGCCATCGTGCTGGGTGTGTGTGTGTGTGTGTTTGTGTGTGTTCATGTGTGCGTGTGTGTTTGTGTGTGCGTGCGTGTTCATGTGTGTGTGTGTGCGTGCGTAGGTGTTCGTGTTTGCATGCATGTGTGTATGTGTGTGTGTTCATGTGTTTTGTGTTATGTTTAGAATTATGATGTTATTGCAGATAAGCCTGTACCCGTTGCTGCATGCTACTGCTCAGATAAGCCTGTACCCATTTTTTTTTTTTTTTTTTTTTTTTTTTTTTTACTAAAAAACATAGCCCTACTAATAATCAGGGGAAGAGGACAACTGAAATGACGCTGGACAACAAGACAAAGGGGAGTAGGGGCGATGTGCCGATGTGGTTGGCGAGGCTCATCCGACCGGAGGTCTCGGAATCATAGCCTACGACCAGGCATCGTTAGGAATGCAGCTAGGGAGGGAGGGAGATCAAGTGAGAAAGAGAGAGAGAGAGAGAGAGAGAGAGAGAGAGAGAGAGAGAGAGAGAGAGAGAGAGAGAGAGAGAGAGAGAGAGAGAGAGAGAGAGAGAGAGAGAGAGAGAGAGAGAGAGAGAGAGAGAGAGAGAGAGAGAGAGAGAGAGAGAGAGAGAGGGGGGAGAGGGAGGGAGAGAGAGAGAGAGAGAGAGAGAGAGAGAGAGAGAGAGAGAGAGAGAGAGAGAGAGAGAGAGAGAGAGAGAGAGAGAAGAGAAAGAGAGAGAGAGAGAGAGAGAGAGAGAGAGAGAGAGAGAGAGAAATAAATAAATAAAATAAAACAAGAAAGAGATGAGAAGAGAAATAAAACAAGAAAGAGATGAGAAGAGAAATAAAATAAAACAAGAAAGAGATGAGAAGAGAAATAAATATAAAACAAGAAAGAGATGATGGACGAGGGTAGTTGCTCATTGACGGGTGGCATAGCCTCACAGGGAGTCCGTAGCCCAAAGCCAATTCTTTTGACGCAAGTGGCGATGGACCTTCTCCTTGAAGGATTGGAGAGACTTCAACTGGGGCATCGGATCCGGAAACATGTCTTGCGGAAGCCTGTTCCATTCATCCACTACACCATATGGGAACGAACGCTGGAGAAAGTTGGGGGCCGTAGGGAGGAGCACTGCTTGTAGCTGATGCTGGTGGCGGACACGGAGCTGCGACCTTGTCCGCGGGACGAGGCTAGCTTCCTGGCGAGGCGGCACGAGCGCAGAGAGATCTGGATGGTCTTGAAGGCACATTAGCTTGTACATGTACGTGAGAGCGTACACTTGGCGGCGGGCAGCTAGGCTCTGCAGCAAGGCGTCAGGACCAATGATAGCAAGGGCCTTCCGCTGTACTCGGTCGAGACTTTGCAGGTGAGAGTTGGCTGCGCCCATCCATGTCAATGGTGCGTATTCGAGTACAGGGCGTACGAAGCCTCTGTACGTTGTCAAGCGTCCTTCACGACCAAGGAAACTTGATGCTCGACGCAGAAATCCTAGTCGGGCTACGGCACGAAGAGAAACATTGCGGAGGTGGCGTCTGAAGGTGAGTTTGCTGTCGAAGGTCACTCCCAGAAGCTTCAGCTCGTCCCCACAGGGAATATCATGGGCTCCGAACGTTAGGTCTGGGAGTGGCCAGGGGTTGCGGTGGTGGCCAATATGCAGCAGCTGCGACTTTGTCGGCTCAAAGCGAATTCGCCATTGTTCTCCCCAGCTACTCAATCGATCCAGGCTAGATTGCATGTCTGCAATACTGCCAGCAGAGTCATGTCTGGATCGTATGATGGTGTACAGCGTGGTGTCATCTGCGTACACACCCATTCGTGTTGATGGGGAAAGACAGGTCTCAGCATCGTTGACATACATCAAGAATAAGGTGGGTCCCAGGATGCTGCCTTGGGGTACGCCAGCTTTAATCTGGAATTGAGCAGATTCCTGTCCATTGACGATTGCGCTTAGTGTGCGATTCCGCAAATAGTCCCGTAGCCACTGCAGCAGGCTACCGCCAATACCGAGAGTGGCCGCTTTGTGTAGGACGCCGGGGTGCGACACGCGGTCAAACGCACCAGCAAGCCTGTACCCGTTGCTGCATGCTACTGCTCAGATAAGCCTGTACCCGTTGCTGCATGCTACTGCTCAGATAAGCCTGTACCCGTTGCTGCATGCTACTGCTCAGATAAGCCTGTACCCGTTGCTGCATGCTACTGCTCAGATAAGCCTGTACCCGTTGCTGCATGCTACTGCTCAGATAAGCCTGTACCCGTTGCTGCATGCTACTGCTCAGATAAGCCTGTACCCATTGCTGCATGCTACTGCTCAGATAAGCCTGTACCCGTTGCTGCATGCTACTGCTCAGATAAGCCTGTACCCGTTGCTGCATGCTACTGCTCAGATAAGCCTGTACCCATTGCTGCATGCTACTGCTCAGATAAGCCTGTACCCGTTGCTGCATGCTACTGCTCAGATAAGCATGTACCCGTTGCTGCATGCTACTGCTCAGATAAGCATGTACCCGTTGCTGCATGCTACTGCTCAGATAAGCCTGTACCCGTTGCTGCATGCTACTGCTCAGATAAGCATGTACCCGTTGCTGCATGCTACTGCTCAGATAAGCCTGTACCCGTTGCTGCATGCTACTGCTCAGATAAGCCTGTACCCATTGCTGCATGCTACTGCTCAGATAAGCCTGTACCCGTTGCTGCATGCTACTGCTCAGATAAGCCTGTACCCGGTGCTGCATGCTACTGCTCAGATAAGCCTGTACCCGTTGCTGCATGCTACTGCTCAGATAAGCCTGTACCCGTTGCTGCATGCTACTGCTCAGATAAGCCTGTACCCGTTGCTGCATGCTACTGCTCAGATAAGCCTGTACCCGTTGCTGCATGCTACTGCTCAGATAAGCCTGTACCCGTTGCTGCATGCTACTGCTCAGATAAGCCTGTACCCATTGCTGCATGCTACTGCTCAGATAAGCCTGTACCCGTTGCTGCATGCTACTGCTCAGATAAGCCTGTACCCGTTGCTGCATGCTACTGCTCAGATAAGCCTGTACCCGTTGCTGCATGCTACTGCTCAGATAAGCCTGTACCCGTTGCTGCATGCTACTGCTCAGATAAGCCTGTACCCGTTGCTGCATGCTACTGCTCAGATAAGCCTGTACCCGTTGCTGCATGCTACTGCTCAGATAAGCCTGTACCCGTTGCTGCATGCTACTGCTCAGATAAGCCTGTACCCGTTGCTGCATGCTACTGCTCAGAGCCTGTACCCGTTGCTGCATGCTACTGCTCAGATAAGCCTGTACCCGTTGCTGCATGCTACTGCTCAGATAAGCCTGTACCCGTTGCTGCATGCTACTGCTCAGAGCCTGTACCCGTTGCTGCATGCTACTGCTCAGATAAGCCTGTACCCGTTGCTGCATGCTACTGCTCAGAGCCTGTACCCGTTGCTGCATGCTACTGCTCAGATAAGCCTGTACCCGTTGCTGCATGCTACTGCTCAGATAAGCCTGTACCCGTTGCTGCATGCTACTGCTCAGATAAGCCTGTACCCGTTGCTGCATGCTACTGCTCAGATAAGCCTGTACCCGTTGCTGCATGCTACTGCTCAGATAAGCCTGTACCCGGTGCTGCATGCTACTGCTCAGATAAGCCTGTACCCGTTGCTGCATGCTACTGCTCAGATAAGCCTGTACCCGTTGCTGCATGCTACTGCTCAGATAAGCCTGTACCCGTTGCTGCATGCTACTGCTCAGATAAGCCTGTACCCGTTGCTGCATGCTACTGCTCAGATAAGCCTGTACCCGTTGCTGCATGCTACTGCTCAGATAAGCCTGTACCCGTTGCTGCATGCTACTGCTCAGATAAGCCTGTACCCATTGCTGCATGCTACTGCTCAGATAAGCCTGTACCCGTTGCTGCATGCTACTGCTCAGATAAGCCTGTACCCGTTGCTGCATGCTACTGCTCAGATAAGCCTGTACCCATTGCTGCATGCTACTGCTCAGATAAGCCTGTACCCGTTGCTGCATGCTACTGCTCAGATAAGCATGTACCCGTTGCTGCATGCTACTGCTCAGATAAGCATGTACCCGTTGCTGCATGCTACTGCTCAGATAAGCCTGTACCCGTTGCTGCATGCTACTGCTCAGATAAGCATGTACCCGTTGCTGCATGCTACTGCTCAGATAAGCCTGTACCCGTTGCTGCATGCTACTGCTCAGATAAGCCTGTACCCATTGCTGCATGCTACTGCTCAGATAAGCCTGTACCCGTTGCTGCATGCTACTGCTCAGATAAGCCTGTACCCGGTGCTGCATGCTACTGCTCAGATAAGCCTGTACCCGTTGCTGCATGCTACTGCTCAGATAAGCCTGTACCCGTTGCTGCATGCTACTGCTCAGATAAGCCTGTACCCGTTGCTGCATGCTACTGCTCAGATAAGCCTGTACCCGTTGCTGCATGCTACTGCTCAGATAAGCCTGTACCCGTTGCTGCATGCTACTGCTCAGATAAGCCTGTACCCATTGCTGCATGCTACTGCTCAGATAAGCCTGTACCCGTTGCTGCATGCTACTGCTCAGATAAGCCTGTACCCGTTGCTGCATGCTACTGCTCAGATAAGCCTGTACCCGTTGCTGCATGCTACTGCTCAGATAAGCCTGTACCCGTTGCTGCATGCTACTGCTCAGATAAGCCTGTACCCGTTGCTGCATGCTACTGCTCAGATAAGCCTGTACCCGTTGCTGCATGCTACTGCTCAGATAAGCCTGTACCCATTGCTGCATGCTACTGCTCAGATAAGACTACTGTAGTGTAGGGTGCCCAAGAGCGGGGGGGGGGGGGGGGGGGGGTCAGGGTTCTAGCGTAGCCCTTTCTTATTTTTAGCTAACACAGCATCTTCCTTCGTGTTTGAAGGGACAGTCTTACATGTACATTATGCAGAGTAATACATCTGAGTGAACGTTACGGTTTCCGTTCTTGTCTGCAAAAGGTCCAGCCTAGATTGTTCTTAAAAATTGGTGAAATTCTTAGCCTGGCCGTTCTTCGGCGGTCCGTTCTTCGGCGCCCGACAGTACTGCAGTTCAATGGCCTACACCGTCACTGCTTACTAACACTACTACCTACACCGTCACTGCTTACTAACACTACTGCCTACACCGTCACTGCTTACTAACACTACTGCCCACACCGTCACTGCTTACTAACACCACTGCCTACACCGCCACTGCTTACTAACACTACTGCCTACACCGCCACGGCTTACTAACACCACTGCCTACACCGTCACTGCTTACTAACACTACTGCCTACACCGTCACTGCTTACTAACACTACTGCCTACACCGTCACTGCTTACTAACACAACTGCCTACACCGCCACGGCTTACTAACACTACTGCCTACACCGTCACTGCTTACTAACACTACTGCCTACACCGCCACTGCTTACTAACACTACTGCCTACACCGTCACTGCTTACTAACACTACTGCCTACACCGTCACTGCTTATTAACACTACTGCCTACACCGCCACTGCTTACTAACACTACTGCCTACACTGCCACTGCTTACTAACACTACTGCCTACACCGTCACTGCTTAGGCGCCGGTCACACATGCATGGCGCTTTTGCGACACCACCAAAGCTGCACCACAAAAGTTGGGATATCCCCGGATCACCATGGATACTGCGCCTGGCGCCACTGGCGCCACGGCGGCAATCTCAAAAGCGCCACAACCAAAAAATTGGTGGCGAAACACAAAAGCGGTAGTGCAACTTTTGCGGCGTTGTCGTTGTTGGATCTCTTGGATTTTGGAAAAATTAGTTTTTCATCTCTCGTCATGAAGTGGACTGCTGACCAAGAGCAACTGCTCCTCTCCCTCTATTTCGAGGTCAAGACAAGACACCATGACACCTGAGTCGAGTCCCATCCGACATGGGACTCGACTCAGGCGTCCACCGATGCTCAAGGAGCTTCCGCAAGATTCAAACGAAGAGAAATTGAACAACATGAATATTGAGGCAATCTCCATAGCTCTCCGCAGTCGCTGGTCACGACGTAGTCGGCGATTCTGGGCGTTTCTGCGATCCATACCAGCGCAGGAAAGGAAAGACAACAGTGATAGGAATTAAAAATGAAACAGCCAACTCAGTCAAAATGCAACAAAGCAGGTAACTTCCTGAAGAATTTTGAGGCTACAGTCTTTTTCAGAGAAAAGTTTTACGACACCTGTGGAGACCCGTGAAGCTGCGTGCGTACCAAAGCCTTTGCATGTGTGACCGCCGGCAGAAAAGAGCCGCAAAAGCGCCCACTGCCAGCGTGTTGGAGGCAGCCGCGAAAGCGGTGTCGCCGCCTGCATGTGTGACCGGCGCCTTACTAACACTACTGCCTACACCGTCACTGCCTACTAACACTACTACCTACACCGCCACGGCTTACTAACACTACTGCCTACACTGCCACTGCTTACTAACACTACTGCCTACACCGTCACTGCTTATTAACACTACTGCCTACACCGTCACTGCTTACTAACACTACTGCCTACACCATCACTGCTTACTAACACTACTACCTACACCGTCACTGCTTACTAACACTACTACCTACACCGTCACTGCTTACTAACACTACTGCCTACACCGTCACTGCTTACTAACACTACTGCCTACACTGCCACTGCTTACTAACACTACTGCCTACACCGTCACTGCTTACTAACACTACTGCCTACACCGTCACTGCTTACTAACACTACTGCCTACACCGTCACTGCTTACTAACACTACTACCTACACCGTCACTGCTTACTAACACTACTGCCTACACCGTCACTGCTTACTAACACTACTGCCTACACCGTCACTGCTTACTAACACTACTGCCTACACCGTCACTGCTTACTAACACTACTGCCTACACCGTCACTGCTTACTAACACTACTGCTACTGATGCAAGGGCAGGGCTGCTGACCTAAAATTTACAAGATTTGCTGATCTCGACTTTACCAGGGTTTCAGATATTGACTTTATGGGGTCAATCAAGGGTTACTGAAGTTACTTTACAAGGGCAGTCGAGGTATGCTGAGGTTGAGTTTATGAGTTCAGTCGAGGGTCTCTAATTCTGACTTCACGAAGGCAGTTGAGGGTTGCTAACCCCAAAAGGTCATAATTATTGGCATTTGCATGTGCTAAGGAATTTTAATGCAACATGATTCAAAGCAATTGTCTCCATATGCGTGCATAATTATAAGGATATTATTATTATATATGTGTGTGTGCGTGTGTGTGTGTGCGTGTGCGTGTGCGTGTGTGGTGTGTGTGTGTGTGGTGTGTGTGTGTATGTATGTGTGTGTGTGCATGCATGAAACATGATGTTGGTCCGTCTAGGTGAACAATGCCAAGGCAGCCGTTGATACATGTGTGCAGCTGAACAAGGTAATACAGAAATTCTGATGCAAAAGTCATCCCCCCACCAACACCAACCAGCTTCACTGCTATCACCCCTCCCCTTTGTGTGTGTGTGTGTGTTTGTGTGTGTGTGTGTGTGTGTGTGTGTGTGTGTGTGTGTGTGTGCGTGGATGTGTGCGCGTACATGTGTGTTTGCATGTGTTGATGCGTGCGTGTGTATGTGTGTGTTTGTGTGTATGTGTGTATGTATGTGTGTGTCTATGTGTGTGTGTGTGTGTGTGTCTATGTGTGTGTGTGTCTATGTGTGTGTTTGTGTTGGTTTCAGGGCCCATATACATGTACTTCTATTTGAAGTGCTTTAAAAAAATTAATACTAAGTCTTGTTAACCAATGAGCTTCTTCGTGCTTGGTTAACTCGTGTGTAATCAATGGTGCGAGTGAAGCTTATATCAGATGCACTGTGATTTTTGCTACCTACACAAGTAGCAAGTATTATCTTCACTGGGGGCAGGAGTAAATGCAGCTGGATCCCGGGACAGACACCCTGATGCTGTCAATCCTTTTTCTGCACCCTGTCCTCGTCCACTTACGGAGGTGTGTTGATCCCATTAGTGGAATCATTTCCAAGTCCACTTAGAGTTTGGAGCGTACATGCTTGTTGGCCGTTGGGTGGTTCTATGGCCTATTGAGTGATCTGTCCAAAGTTTCTTCTAAATCATGTGACCGGGTATTGGTCATGTGACCTGGTATTGGTCATGTGACCTGGTATTGATCATGTGACCTGGTATTGGTCAAGTGACCTGGTATTGGTCAAGTGACCTGGTATTGGTCATGTGACCCGGTATTGGTCATGTGACCCGGTATTGGTCATGTGACCCGGTATTGGTCATATGACCGGGTAGTGGTCATGTGACCTGGTATTGGTGGTGAACACGTACAAGTACGAGCTCAAACAATTGTTCATTATTGACAGCTTGCATGCCATCTACCGGTAGGACCCAAGAAATCACGCTGCAAAAGTGCTTTTGGTTGAGAATTTTTTGAAACAATTGTTGAGATGAGGTCTTTGTAGGGCAAAGTAATTTCGTAAAATGCAAGACTATGTCCAGTGCATTGCATATGTGCAATTTTATCAATAGTCAGCACACGAAGCACAGAAGCCATATCATTTTTTCGACTAGGCCTTTCATTCCATTACTCTTCAAGTCGAATACAATGGTGATTAACAAGGTAGTAAGCAAGTCCTTATAATCGGCACTTTGGCGGTCAGAGCATTGACAAATATAGCTCTTGAAAAATAGCGCTAGTGGCGCCTACAGCATATTAGGCGGTCAGAGCATAGACCAAATAGCACTTTAAAAGACAGCGCTAGTAGCGCTAACTACACAGTGAGACAATGAATATTTCCAGTATCAGACAACAGTGGGGACCACGGTACTACAATGTCAAAACAGGGACAACTTTCCCACATACTTCTTTTGCACGCACAGTTCAGGCTTCAGCTTGGCAATGTACACTGCCTCCAGCACAGCAAGGTGAGATATGTAGCGCGCACGCGCTTGAATCGTGAAGTGAGAGTGGGTGCCATGTTTGCAGACTGCACTTAGGCAGGCTGGTGGCGATGTCAGGTGGCGGAGTATCGCTGAGTCCTTCTCATTATCGTCATTGTCCGTTGGTCCATTCCTGTGGTAGCTATTGTGCATTGCAGCTGTGCCGCTGGCGACTTCTCTGCCGGGCGAGGAGTCACACACGGTTTCACATGCCGATCCTGTGTCAGCCGCTTGTTCCAGAGCGTTGCGAAGATGCAGTCGTTCACTTTGTCTCGTGACAGTTGCTGGTGGTTTGATCGGTGTTGATTTTCTTCTCCCTTTGTTGACGGTGACGGTGATATCCTTGACTGGTCGGTTTCTCCATGTCCTAACCGGTTTTGTTGTTCCTGTAACTGTCCGTACGAGTTTGTTTGGGATGTGCTGCTCTATGCGATCACCCAATCGTTGTGTTGTCCTGCCAATGTACCTGCGGTCACACTCACAGGTGAATAAATAAATGACATTACTTAAATACATCAGTGGCAGGACATTCTTCTTGGTGGTGGAAAACATCTTCCGGGTAGTGAAACAACAGATTGGGTAGCAGAGTGGAACATAGCGCTGGACAATTTTTTGAATTTTCTGCTTGAACATGGCCGACTGGTCGCCGAGCCACAGGAGTCGCAAGACAGCACGGTTCGACTTGTCCTCAGCTCTGGCACTCGTTGTCAGTGCCTATGACAAGCGCGTGTGACAAGCGCGTGCGCGCAACAAATCTCACCTTGCTGTGCTGGAGGCAGTGTACATTGCCAAGCTGAAGCACTGTGCGTGCAAAGAAGTATGTGGGAAAGTTGTCCCTGTTTTGACATTGTAGTACCGTGGTCCCCACTGTTGTGTGATACTGGAAATATTCATTGTCTCACTGTGTAGTTAGCGCTACAAGCGCTATCTTTTAAAGTGCTATTTGGTCTATGCTCTGACCGCCAAATATGCTGTTTGCACCACTAGCGCTATTTTCAAGAGCTATTTTTGTCAAAGATCTGACCGCCAGAGTGCCGGTTATAAGGACTTGCTTACTACCTTGTTAATCACCATTGTATTCGACCTGAAGAGTAATGGAATGAAAGGCCTAGTCGAAAAAATTATATGGCTTCTGTTCTTCGTGTGCTGATTTGCTTTCCTCCAACCAAATATCTATTAATCAATAGTCAAAGAGAATACAAAATTCCACACTCCGCTTCCATGGTCACCATGGACTGTTGCCATGGAATTTCGTAATATTTATGCCTTGTCCGATCCCATCTAAAATTTATGGACTCCTTCATTAGCCCCTTAGCAACAGTTTAGGGTCAAGTTTCCGTTAGCAACAGTCTAGGGTCAGGTTTCCGTTAGCAACAGTTTAGTTTCAGGTTTTAGGTGAATGTTAGAACAGAGGTCATGCAGCATGTCTGTGTACGATGGTCCTACCAGTAGGACCGAGGTCTATGCAAGCTATCATTAATGTAATGTATGTGTTTATATATGTGTGTGTGTGTGTGTGTGTGTGTGTGTGTGTGTGTGTGTGTGTGTGTGTGTGTGTGTGTGTGTGTGTGTGTGTGTGTGTGTGTGTGTGTGTGTGTGTGTGTGTGTGTGTGTGTGTGTGTGTGTGTGTGTGTGTGTGTGTGTGTGTGTGTGTGTGTGTGTGTGTGTGTGTGTGTGTGTGTGTGTGTGTGTGTGTGTGTGTGTGTGTGTGTGTGTGTGTGTGTGTGTGTGTGTGTGTGTGTGTGTGTGTGTGTGTGTGTGTGTGTGTGTGTGTGTGTGTGTGTGTGTGTGTGTGTGTGTGTGTGTGTGTGTGTGTGTGTGTGTGTGTGTGTGTGTGTGTGTGTGTGTGTGTGTGTGTGTGTGTGTGTGTGTGTGTGTGTGTGTGTGTGTGTGTGTGTGTGTGTGTGTGTGTGTGTGTGTGTGTGTGTGTGTGTGTGTGTGTGTGTGTGTGTGTGTGTGTGTGTGTGTGTGTGTGTGTGTGTGTGTGTGTGTGTGTGTGTGTGTGTGTGTGTGTGTGTGTGTGTGTGTGTGTGTGTGTGTGTGTGTGTGTGTGTGTGTGTGTGTGTGTGTGTGTGTGTGTGTGTGTGTGTGTGTGTGTGTGTGTGTGTGTGTGTGTGTGTGTGTGTGTGTGTGTGTGTGTGTGTGTGTGTGTGTGTGTGTGTGTGTGTGTGTGTGTGTGTGTGTGTGTGTGTGTGTGTGTGTGTGTGTGTGTGTGTGTGTGTGTGTGTGTGTGTATGTGTATGTGTGTATGTGTGCAACTGATTTGTACGCAGTGGTATAGAGCAGTTGAACTGGCTAAGAAGCATTCCCTGCCTGGCATAGAGCAGCTACTATCTCGCTATGCAACACATCTTCTGGAGCATGACAATATCATTGATGCCGTGCAGCTGTAACCTACAAGTCTAATACTCTATCCACTGTGTTATACTACACCCACTGTCTACTATATCCACTGTGTTACACTACACCCATTGTGTTACACTACGCCCACTGTGTTATACTACGCCCACTGTGTTACTCTACACCCACTGTCGACTATACCCATTGTATGCTGTCACTGTGGCTCTGTTACACACCATTTTCAGTTGCCAAATCCCTAATTCCCTGTAACCCTTTGTGACCCCGTCGATCGATATCGATCGATTGATATACAGTGGCACTAACAAATTAATATCTCTGGTGTTCATTCACCCATTCTCACAAACAAAGCGTCTACGTTTCGAGAAGAACCTTGGTTATATCCGAAGTCTCTAGGGGGTACGATGCCGCCATGGTGAGCCTCGAAGTCGGAGAAAAACTGAAAAATGCACTCCGATCAAAATTTCAAATTTTCACGCTGCACTTGGCGGGGGATTTCCCTAGAGTGCTACATCATAGTCAAGCATGCTGGACAGCAATTTTTTGCGCTTGAAACGAGCTTTTCGCTGCAGTTTGTTTGAAGTGGATGTGATGAAGGAGAATAGAGCGGTGGCTGTTTGAACTTTGCTGAAGCTGTTCGCGCACGGCTGTTGTTTTGATCGGCATTTTAGGCCATGCAGAGCAGAGGCCGTGCAGGTAGCTGGCTTGAGTATGGTATCAGTCGCTTCGTCTTGGAAATACCTTTCCAATGGTGGCTAGTTTGTAAAAATCGGTGATTGTTTGATGGAGATACAAACGAAAGTGCATGTTATTTGAAGGTGAGTAAATTGTCGTAATTTCAGTGGGGTCACAAAGGGTTAAACCACATCCCACTTCCCAATTACCAAATCCGAAATCCCCTGTGTACAAAATCCCGAATTCCCAGCTTCCGGAATTGCTTGTTGCCAAATCCGAAATTTAATTTCCTAACTCTCTCACTATCATATTCCCCCGTTTCCCTGAAAGTCGTTGGGCTAATGAAGTTGAATTGTGAGATAGAACTGGTCCAACAGTACTGGGCTGAAGTTTGAGACTCAAATTCTGCTGCAGTGATGTGCTTGAAAAGCGAGACTTATACGTTTCTTCTGCTGTTGATTACCGGTTATTGTTTGTGAATCACTGTCATGGTTGAGTAGTGTACCCACCTGCTACTGTAGTTAGTTAGCCTAAAGGGTAGGGTTGTCAGTTGGTATGAAATGTTCTAAGGGGCATGGCCAATTTCTCTTTTTATTCAAGAGTGTGTTGCGTTCAATCCTTAACTCGGACTGCGGTATGTATCTTTGAAGGTATCGTGAGGCTAACATGTTCTCAGAAGCAGCCAGTTTGCTTTATGAGGTAAGAGAACGAGAGAGAGAGAGAGAGAGAGAGAGAGAGAGAGAGAGAGAGAGAGAGAGAGAGAGAGATAGGCAGAGCAAGAGATAGGCAGAGCGAGAGATAGGCAGAGCGAGAGACACAGAGCGAGCGAGTATTAAGTTACATTTATATAGACAGGTAAGTCTAACAAATGAGGACTGAGACCTCTACAACAGGGTTTTTACGCCTGAAAGCAGGTGCATGATTTAACAAGCAGGTTGTCAGTCTAGATTTAATGCGCAGATGGAGAAAAAGCGCAGAATTTTTGTAATGAGATGAAAAGCAGAAATAATAAGAAATAATAAGAAAAGATGAAATGAAAGCCTGCTCACAACCCCGCCCAGCCTTGCGAACTGGGTATGGTGGATTAAGAACCCGGTTCAACGCTCGAGCAAGCGATCTCCACTCAAGGTGTTCGCAGCAACTGATAGGTACTCATATGGGGAAATTATAGAAAAGAAATAATAAGATAAGGAGAATAAATTTCAACGCACCTCAATAAACGGAGCCCCACATACAGTACCTCAGAAAAGTGGATCTTCCGACCAGTGTTTTTGTTGACGTCGCAACCAGATGATGTAGCTGCTTCGCAGAGACGTCTTACTGCACAAATTACAAATAAATTTTATTATTCGATTAGAAAACCCAAGCGCTTTCAGAGCCCTCCGAAGAGAGTCCGGGATGAAACCACGCACACCTACCTCAACCGAAAAAGAAACGACCTGCCACCCGTTTGGTCGGCATTGATCGGCCAGATCCGCATACCGCCTGTCCTTCCGCGAGTTACTGACACTGAATCTGTCCTCAGCACAAACTGTCAACTTCATCCAGAATACAATCCTACGACTCGTAGAGTACAGAACTATATCTGGTCTTAGGGTGGTAAGTGCAACTCAGCTAGGGAAAGAAATCTTTGCACTAACTGAGTCTACAAGAAGTTTCCAGTCTGAGGCTGCTGACAGGAGATCAGTCGTAACCAACTTTCGTCTGGGCTGAACGCGAACTGGCTTCTCTCCCGCCTTGCAAAACGAGATGAAGTCAAGCCCATTTGAATTTTCGGTTTGTACAGTGTTTGCAGCAGTGCGGATACGAATCTACTCACGCATGTTCCTGACGATGACCCCGAGTACGTTGTCGTGCCTCAAGGTGTAACGTCCCTGGTCCAGCGCTACGTGACAAGCGCCAAGCACGTGGGGCGTAGTACAGGCCCAGGCACGGCACAAACTACAGTACGGATCCACTGCGGTGTTTCCCCAACGGCGTAGGTTCGTTGGAGAAGGTAGCACGTCGAGGGTGGATGCGAGAAGAAATTTCAAATCCTTACCGGTACCACCGTACAAAAGGGATTTCCACGAGAGGTCTTGCCACATCACCGATGTCCACTCCAACCACTTGCCTTGCACCTGAAGAGTCTTCAGCCTCAAAATCTGCTCCTGTGCGTTGATCTCCTCAAATGTTTGAAGGAGATCCTTCCTCGGGGGTTTGGAATGCTGCTTCGGAGCACGAGCACCCAACCCTGCACGATGACTTGAAGATGACGGTGGACGAAGAGTCCCTGAACCTACTGATGCCTCTGCACACTCCAGCTCTATTGTCGCCGCATATCGCTTTGTCAGCTTCGCATCCTTACTCCGACGCAGAGTGTACAGCGCCCTCATGCGCGCGTCCCCACTCGATCGAAGAATGTGCCATTTGATGGACTGGCACTTTTTTCCACACCGTAGGAAGGTAGTGGAGGCGTAAGCCAAAGCGTTTGCGACTGCCAATAAAAAGAATGGCAGAGTTTGCGCATCGAGGTAGGCCTGACCATTTCTTCAGAAATGGTAAACACATAAAGTGCAGTTCACGTACAAAACCTTGTGTGAGTTCAAGAACCTGGAAAGACCAAGAAAGCTTGGGCACTACAAGATGGTGGTAAAGCCATAGCTTGTGGTGGTCTTGTAGCCAAGAGCCATCTACTTTTTGCATGAGAGACACAGTGAGTTGACGGATGTCTTCCCGCTGGGTCTGCTCAGAGCAATCAGCATGCAGCCTTCGCCCCAGGAACTTGAACTCTTCGGTGTCAATGAAAGCGATCTTCCTCCCTGACATCGTCAGGCAGGGATCGTAAGGTTTGTACCGGCCATCTACAAGCTTTACTGCACTGCTTTTGCATTTGTGCGGCGCCGCCTGCATACATTGGGTCCACGAGAGAAAGTCCTCCGTGACCGCAATGAGTTTTTGACAACCTGCACTAGATTTGCTATGGAGGCCTAAGTCATCAGCAAAAGCTGTTTGGGACACTTGCAAAGGGGCAGATTTAAAATCATAGGAGAGGCAACTTAATTCAGGGGCTGGAATTGAGTCCAGCAGAAGCTGGAAACAAATATTGAAAAAGACCGGGGACAAGGGGCACCCTGGAAAACACCAATGTTGTAATTAAAGGTGGGAGTGTGTGGTTGTACGACGAAAGCGCAAAGACTGTCGTAGTAGGAAAAAATTAATTTCCTGAATTGCAAAGGAAGGCTGTAGTGGGTTAGAGCACACTGTATCAGATTGTGGCGCACTGAACCAAATGCATTCTTCAAATCTATCCACGCAATGCAAATTTGGCGTTTTGCCGTCTTTGCATCACGCATCGCCTCATAACAAAGTGATGTATGCTCTAAGCACCCAGCCTTTGCAGGCATAAATCCTTTCTGGTTGTCACCATCGAAGAACTTATTGCCTAGCATATGTTTCAAGAGGCGCTTTGCAACTAAGGTGAAAAAGATTTTCCCGGACGTGTTTGCTAGAGCGATCGGTCGGAATTTCGAAGGATCATTATTTATTTATTTATTTCGCAGAGGCGATTCTACCACCCTCCAGCTGACGCGCCTGGTGCAATTAGTGTGTCGACATCGGGATGCTGGAGATCTAGTCGGGATCTGTTTTTTCGATCTTGCCAAGGCCTTCGATACCGTCTGGCACCGGGGGCTCTTGGCCAAGCTTCGTGGATCATTTACTGTAGACGGCAATCCCCTGCTATGGCTGACATCTTACCTAACTGGGCGAACGCAGTACGTCACGGTACATGGGACGTCCTCAGCCGACACAACAGTACTATCCGGAGTTCCCCAGGGTTCCATCCTCGGCCCCCTTCTTTTTATCTTATACGTCAATGATCTGCCCGCAGCTGCCCCGGGCACATCACTATTCGCAGACGACACAACGCTCCTACGGGCATCTCCTAACATCACTGGCCTGATGAGTAACCTAGCTAACCGGATTCAAAGAGTAATTTTCTGGATGTCGTCTTGGCGGTTATCGCCCAATCTGTCTAAAACTAAAAATCATGCTCTTTCCTTCTCAGCCTGATGTTCTGCCCCTCCTCCATCCCACTTTCCCCCAGCCTATAGACATAGTCTCCAGCCATAAGCATCTTGGCATTTTCATTGACTCTAATCTTTCATGGGAACCCCACATCGATTATATTATGTAAACGATCAAGTTTATCTTTAGGAATCCTCTCTTCTCATTGTTACCATCTCCCAATCTCTTGTAACCTCTTATACTCAGCTTACCTACGCCCCATTTTTGATTATGCAGATACTGCTTGGGCTGGAATTTCCACAACCCGTGCTGCCAAGCTCGAAATTCAGCACAAAAAAGTTCTAAAAATCCTCCTCCGGAAACCCCGCATGCTCCCATCTTCCACCCTTTATGCCCTTGCTCACACTACCCCTTTGTCTAAGAGATGTAATTCACATCTTGTCACCCTTAATGCCTTATCCATTCTCTCAAACTCAATCTGTGTCCACCTCACCTCCACTGTTTCAACTGGTTTTCTTCCCGTAGCACGAGAAACTCCCTTTCCCTTCCGAAACCCAAGTCCTCCTTTCTACTTCACTCTCCCCTTTTCACTGCGTATTCTGCGTGGCTGGCACTTCCCCAAGAAGCTAAGGACATTTCTTCCCTCCGCCTTTTTAAGAGCCTTGTCGCGCCTTGACTTTGATTTTGTGTTTCTCATTTTGTTGCAATCACTACTTATCCATGCCGGTTCCTTTTTTTCTTTTCTTTTTTTCTTCTCCTCCCCTTCTCCCTTCCTTGCCGTGGTTGGCTAACACCCTCTCTCTTTGTATTGGCCGGTGTTCTCACTGTGCTATGAGATGCTGTAATAAATAAATAAATAATAAATAAATCAGACACCTCCCCCTTGGCCAGGAGTGTGATACACGCTACCTGCCACTGCCTTGGAATGATCTTGCTCTCCCAAATCCGCCCAAAGATGGTGAAAAGAATGGATTGAAGGGCGGGACAAAGCTTCCAAACTATTTAAGGTATCTTGTCAGGACCCGGTGCAGAGGTGTTGCGACACTTCTTCAAAACATTCTGAAATTCAGTCCATGTAGGGGTCCCCTCATCGACTGGGTGGGAGAGAGAGAGAGAGAGAGAGAGAGAGAGAGAGAGAGAGAGAGAGAGAGAGAGAGAGAGAGAGAGAGAGAGAGATAGAGAGATAGATAGAGAGAGAGAGAGAGAGTAAGTTACATTTATAAAGACAGTTAAGTCTAACAAATGAGGATTGAGACCTCTACAACAGGGTTTTTACGCCTGAAAGCAGGTGCATGATTTAACAAGCAGGTTGTCAGTCTAGATTTTATGCGCAGATGGAGAAAAAGCGCAGAATTTTTGTAATGAGATGAAAAGCAGAAATAATAAGAAATAATAAGAAAAGATGAAATGAAAGCCTGCTCACAACCCCGCCCAGCCTTGCGAACTGGGTATGGTGGATTAAGAACCCGGTTCAACGCTCGAGCAAGCGCTCTCCACTCAAGGTGTTCACAGCAACTGATAGGAACGAGAGAGAGAGAGAGAGAGAGAGAGAGAGAGAGAGAGAGAGAGAGATGGAGGGAGAGAGAGAGAGAGAGAGAGAGAGAGAGAGAGAGAGAGAGAGAGAGAGAGAGAGAGAGAGAGGGATAGGCAGAGAGAGAGATAGGCAGAGCGAGAGATAGGCAGAGCGAGAGACACACAGCGAGAAAGAGAGAGAGAGAGAGGGGGGGGAGAAGGAGAGAGAGAGAGAGAGAACGAGAGAGAACGAGAACGAGAACGAGAGAGAACGAGAGAGAGAGAGAGAGAGAGAGAGAGAGAGAGAGGAGAGAGAGAGAGAGAGAGAACGAGAGAGAGAGAGAGAGAAAGAGAGAGGGAGAACGAGAGAGAGAACGAGAGAGAGAACGAGAGAGAGAGAGAGAGAGAGAGAGAGAGAGAGAGAGAGAGAGAGAGAGAGAGAGAGAGAGAGAGAGAGAGAGAGAGAGAGAGAGAGAGAGAGAACGAGAGAGAGAACGAGAGAGAGAGAACGAGAGAGAGAGAGAGAGAGAGAGAGAGAGAGAGAGAGAGAGAGAGAGAGAGAGAGAGAGAGAGAGAGAGAGAGAGAGAGAGAGAGAGAGAGAGAGAGAGAGAAAGAAAGAGAGAGAGAGAGAGGGAGAGAGAGAGGCAGGCAGAGAGAGAGAGAGGCAGAGAGAAAGAATGAAGGAGGGAATGAGGAAGGGAGGGAGGGCGAGCGGGAGTGGGGGAGGGAGGGAGGGAGGGAGGGAGAGGGAGGGGGGGAGAGGGAGGGAGGGAGGGAGAGGGAGGATTGAAGTGACAGTGGCATTGCTGAGATATACTTTGAGAGAGATTGAATTCAATTCTTTTCCGTTCACTAGGTGTGTGCACTGTTCATTGACAACGGGTGCCGGTGCCGGTGTCGGCCTTATTCATGTACACGTGACTCAGTAAGGAGCTGTTGTTCTTCTTCTTTTTCTTATCCTTGCTCTTGTTTGTTGTTTGTTCTTGTTTGGTGTTGGTTTTTGGTTGTTTGTTGTTGGTTGTGGTTGTTGGTTGTGGCTGTAGCTTGGCGGCAAAGCTGTGAGTGACCAGAAAGACTATCTGCGTGCCAAGAAGCTGTACATCATGGCTGGAATGATGGTAAGCTCTTTAACTCTTGTAGCACAAAGCACATTGATGTACCTCATGAAAACCGATGTTCACTGCCGCACAAAGGCCGTAAATTATGTCCTCAGTGCGCAGTGCATACATGCGGGCTTTATTCTGATAGATGTAGTGTGGTCAAACCTTCATAACTCGGTTGATTTGGGGGCAATTCTTATCATTGGCACGAGAGAGAGAGAAAACCTTCAACTTGTGAATGGCCACGTGCATACATGTACACACGCACGCACACGCATACCCTGGCACAGTCTAAGTCTTGTTTCCATAGCAGCAGGTTGCGAGAAAGAAGTAAAAACGAGAGCAGTGCACAACTGTGCCTTGCACAGTTCAAAGTCAGATTGCCGTGGTCAACATTGCACATACCATATCTCAACAACTGTATGTATGTGTGTGTGTGTGTGTGTGTATGTGTGTGTGTGTTTATGTTTCTTTGTTTGTGTCTGCCTATCAGATGGAGGACTATCGCAAAACTCGCAATGCAGCAGCTCAAGAGCACCGTGAGGTATGGGTGAACTAAACTGTCCATTCTGTGTGTATGTGTGTGTGTGTGTGTGTGTGTGTGTGTGTGTGTGTGTGTGTGTGTGTGTGTGTGTGTGCTAGTGTGTGTATGTGTGTGTGTTGATGTGTATGTGTGTATGTGATTGGGTACATCACGGCTGTTCCGAGTGCGACATTTATCAATATGGCGGCGTACCGTAGCAACCCGCATCGCAACAGCTCGCGTACGCACAGCGTGCCGACGCGTGCAGTCTTTCTGCACATTTTTCAAATTTATCGAAGAAAGTTTTGGGGGCGATGGATTCGTGCCTTGGAGAGGTCTTATGAGGCCATGCTGGAGGAGAATAAGTCTACCAAGACCTGGAAGCCTCCCTTCGGCAAAGTACTGAAGTTAGTATGTCCTGGAGTCAATACAGTCAATACAGGAATTGTTTTCAAGACGATGCAGTGTAATAAATTCTAGTAATGTAGCCGGTGCATCATGCAATTAGTTGTGTTTGAAACTTCGGAACAAGAAGTGGGCACGTTTGCTTGACTCACTACCATCATGACGTGAACAGATGGAACCCCACTGCTCTTATCCTAAAACATGTTCTCCCCTGAGGACAGCTTACAGCCAGATTTCCGTGCATAAGAAAAGAGCACAAATAAATCGTTAGACTGATTGCAATTCATCTTGGAGAAGGAGAAGGATAGAATTCGATCGTCTGCTACTCTCTCAACGCAAAGTTGATGACATAGCAGCTACATGTACGTCTCTTCATGCGTGTGCTCTTCACCTTGGGATCAATGTGAGGATTTTAGGATTGCTGGAAATCAGATTCTGTATACTATTGGACAGTAGTTCTGCATTGCACATGCTCCACAGTGCTCATCGGCAAGGATGTTGAATTTGCGTGTAACCCTTCACCACCCTACTCTCCATACTATTCCAGATCAGCACTAACTGAACTTTGAAGTGTTTCATTTCCAGTAGAATGTGCTCCTCCAATAAGTGCGGCATTGGAGGCGGTGATATTTATTGCCACAGTTGCACTGCTGATCTTCGTCATGAAAGAAGCAATGGATGATGATCAAGTCAACCAGTGGGCTTGCAGTGATAAGCAAAGTACCACAATACATCATCAAGTGTCATAGCATGGCGGAGTTGGTTGCCCGCAACGCTTCCAGTTGGAGACTGGAAGATATCCTCTATTTGCGCTCCAACTTTTAAAGCACATGGACCTGCTATAGGTGTTATTCTTCTATCAATGCTTGTTTCAAGTCACAGAATTATTTAGCTTCTTACAGCTTTGATTTAATTCGCCGTATTGTAATTAATGTGAAGAAGAGGTTGATGCGACTTCGGCAATACTTGGGGAATTGTGTGTTGCTCCCTACGTGGGAACTTGCGCTATTCTGCCGACTTGAATTCTCACTTGATCGACTTGTTATTTTTAAATGAATTCATGGACATCTGTCAATTCAGCAGATGAACTGCATTGCCATCAAGCCTTGAGTCAGCTCCATAGGAATGGCACGGTCATGAAGATGCGTGATGCTGTGTAACCTTATTCGCATCAGAATAATAACCTGGTTGTTCCGCCTACACACTCCGGTAGCAACAGATACTCTGCATAATGCAGCTTGTACAGTAGTCCTCACTAAAGAAGAAAGCAGTTTAGGAGGGACTCTAGTGAGGAGTGTGCGAGGATAGCCTATTAGTGTTCTACATAATCATTTGCATATTGAACATGTTACATGTAATTATCATGAACGCCGAGAGTGGTAAAACCGGGTACGGCCATCACCAGCGGCTGCGGTCCTGTCCTGAGTGCCATGCTGTGCTTAGTGCTGATGTAGTGCAAGATATATAAGCTGCATCATGGTTGTCGTTTGTTGTTGTTCAATTACTTGAAGTATTTCAGTATGGTCTTTACGCATGCAAGTGTGTGCTTTTCAGCAGGATCGTCGAAAGACTACATTGTGCGTGGCCTAAATCTGCAGTACCACTAGTAATACAAAAACCCATGCCTATGTGTGTACACGTAAGGCCTCAGACAGATGGGGAATCTTGCATCTCTGACATTTAAAATCTCTACACAATGTCCTGTTTCTACATACATTTCGAAAGCATGAATTTCAAAAAAATGTTCATTGGATGCTTGTCTGATTCGTACTTGCTGACATCCAGAACGAAGCATGCACGGATCCCTCCTATGGCGGACGAAACCGGGGTCTTCGTTAGACATTGAGGCAGGAGAACACACCTCCACTCGTCCTGCATATATCAGCAAACACTTGCAATTGACGTCCAAGTACGCCACGCAAATCGACTTGGGCACGAAAACGATAATCTGGGCGGCAATGAAAATATAACTACGACGTAGGAAAAGGACAAACCTTTCAATGAAAATTGGCGTGAAGGCTGCCAAAAATTCTGCACCCCTTAGGAGGAAGCCTCGAATGTGAGCCAATTCTGATAAACGCCAATGGCCGGCACGACGAGGAAGAACGAAACGAAAAAGATCGTAACTTCACTTTCCCATTGCGCATTTTGACGATCAAAATATCTGCTTGCGCAGCTTGAAGGCAGGAAGGTGAATTCGCTTAGACTTCGCGAATCCAGCGTAGAAAACGGCTGGAATCGGCAGAAACATAGGCGAAACCTTGCCGAATATTTCCAGAGATTTGAAAAAGGCAGCAAGGTCGCATACGACAGCATCATGGATCACTGGGGCGACGGGAAAATGTCGTACCGTACATAATGTCGCTGGATTATGCATGCATAACAGCCGTGACATGTGTATGTGTGTGTGTGTGTGTGTATGATACCCCGACGATTATGGTCACACACGTCTTTCTTCTCTTTCTCAGACTCTTCCTGACTTTTCTTTCATTCTCCTGGGTGGTTACCAACAGCCAGTGCATGCCGGAGTATGTGGTGTGATGTGTGTGTGGGAAAAAAAAAAAAAAGAAAAAAAGAAAAGAAAAAAAAAGAAAAAGACCAAAAATAGGGATTCACTGGCCAGAAAAAGTCACTTCAAATAGCTGTATGGTGTAGACCAGGCTGAATAGTGACGGTCAATTCTTCAGCCTTGCAAGCTGTTGAATGGTGCAATCCCAGCACAAGTTGCTATGGCTTCTGCCGTAGCATTGCTATCATCGCCTCCGGCGATGGGCGTCAAAGGTCAAGGTCAAAGGTATGATACCTCGATACTGTCTATCCTTTTTGATTACTCTGTCCTCGCCAACTTACTACTGTGTGTTAAGCTGCCCATATGTGGGCCACACGGTAGCCCTTATGTGGACCACACAGTAGCCCATATGTGGGCCACACAGTAGCCCATATATGGACCACACAATAGCCCATACAGGGACCACACAGTAGTCCATATGTGGACCACACAGTAGCCCATATGTCTGCCACACAATATGCCATGAGTGGGCTATACAATAGCCCGGAAGTAGGATCATTTCCCAGTTCAAGTCCGGAGTTTGGGGATCTCAGGGGGTGGACGTTAGAAGGTTCAATGGCCAGTTGACTCATTTGCCCAATATGTATTCGGAACCTCAACCCCCACTCCCGGAGCAATGAACAAGTAGCGGTACAAGTTTTTTTGTGCATGCGTGTCAAAGATGCTTGTGGCATGTGTTTGTGTCTGTGTGTCTGTGCATCTTTGCACGTGTGTATGTACATCTTTGTGTGTGTGTGTGTGTATGTATGTGCATCACCAGGGAAGTACCAAGATGTACTTAGATGAGGAGTACCAATCTCCAGAGACGGCAAGAATGCTGGATTCCACCTGGCGTGGTGCGGTGGTAAGTACAGAAAGTTGGATATCACTTTGTGTGGTGGAGAATAGTGGATATCACTTGGTGTGGTGGAGAATAGTGGATATCACTTGGTGTGGTGGAGAATGTTGGAGATCACTTGGTGTGGTGGAGAATAGTGGACATCACTTGGTGTGGTGGAGATTAGTGGATATCACTTGGTGTGGTGGAGAATAGTGGACATCACTTGGTGTGGTGGAGAATAGTGGACATCACTTGGTGTGGTGGAGAATAGTGGACATCACTTGGTGTGGTGGAGAATAGTGGATATCACTTGGTGTGGTGGAGAATATTGGATATCACTTGGTGTGGTGGAGAATATTGGATACATATACCACCTGGTATGGTGCAGAGGTATATACCGCTAATGACTGCTTTATGTGATCAGGCAGTGATCAGGCAGTGGTAGTGTGGTAGTGTGGTAGTGTGGTAGTGTGGTAGTGTGGTGGCATCTATATAGTATAGATAACATAATACATACTGGAGCACTGTGTTTCAATCCTGAATTTTGCACTTCCATGTGATAAATCCAAGGAGTGTGGTCGGCCTGGCTCACTGACCGCGGAACGAAACACCGGCTCTAACTCACTCATCCTAGACGGTGTCACAAGAGTGGGCTCATTGCTCTAACTGACTGACCCCAGACCCTGTCACAAGAGTGTGCTCATTGCTGTAACTGACTGACCCCAGACCATGTCACAAGAGTGTGCTCATTGCTGTAACTGACTAACCCCAGGCCATGTCCACGCCAGCTTTCCTATACCTAGGCACATGCTTGCATTGGTCTTTGACCAAGGGAAACATAAACAGACATCCCGTTAGTGCAGTACATGTCACTTCACTCCGCATTGACACTTGTCATCTCCATTGAGGTACATATTCCTGACGCATCCTCTCTCCTCTCAGGGTTCAAATTGAAAAAGAAAGGTAGGTTTCGGGTAACTCGGGTCGCTCAAAAGCTTGTAGTCTGTGCCAAAAGGAAAGCGTTTGTCGTGATTATGACAACACCGACATATCAAGGTTGCATTACCCACTTGAACAAGATTCACAGTTTGCTTGACTTTCCCATGTGACATTCTCACATGCCATTCTCTTGTGACATTCTCACGTGCCATTCTCTTGTGACGTTCTTGCGTGCCATTCTCTTGGCATGATAGACCGTGATCCTTAGCAGTCTCCATAGGTGATGTCTGCTGATTTTAAACGCAAGGGTGAGGTGGTGTAAACAGTTGTTCAGGATCAAATTTTGCTTGTTTATGTTCATGCGTGTGTGTATGTGTGTGTGTGTGTGTGTGTGTGTGTGTGTGTGTGTGTGTGTGCGTGTGTGTGTGTGTGTGTGTGTGTGTGTGTGTGTGCGTGTGTGTGTGTGTGTGTGTGTATCTCTGTTTGAGTGTTTGCGAGTGTGCGTCTGTTTCTGTGCATTTTTCTTTCGTTTCCAGGCTATTCATTTCTTCCTGACTGCTCAGCATAACATTTACGAAGGAGATATCGCAGCTGCACTCAGAATGGTATGCCCTTACCATTACAATGGCCTACGCTATATGTACTGTATGAAATTGGGGTAACAAAAGACTCAGTGTGCCGTACACACACACACACACACACACACACACACACATGCACACACACACACACACACACACACACACCATATGCACACACACACACACACACACACACACACACACACACACACACACACACACACACACACACACACACACATACACACACCGCATATTTATTATGATGTGCATATGTATGTGTGCGCATTTGAGCATGATGCATGTCATGTACATGATTGCACATTGTAGACTCTGACTTGTACACAACATGCATACAGTTCTTTTCTCTTCACGAAACCTCTGACATCACTTGGCATCTGAACAATAACTTTGACCGATACCCAAATGATGCAATTAAGGTCTTTTGAACATTTGTGTATGTGTGTGTTCTACTGGCCAGATTAACTCGTGTGTAATCAATGGTGCTACTGAAGCTTACATCAGATCCGCTCTGATCTAGCAATCTACACTAGTAGTGTCTCCGCTGGGAGCAGGGGTAACTGCAGTTGGATCCCGGGGGGGGGGATACCTTGATGCCGTCAACCCTTTTTCTGCACCTTGTCCTTACCCACTTACTGAGGTGTGGTGAGCCCATAGGTGGGACCATCTCCATAGTTCGGGGATTTCAGGGGCTGTCAGCCGTTGGGCGGTTCAATAGCCAATTGAGTCATCTTTCCAAGATTCCTTTTGCGTATCTCTCCCCTCTCCCAGGGAGAAACAAGTGACCAGTTTTGGTAGTGAGCAAGTACAGTACAGTACAATTCATGTGTGTGTGTGCATGTGCATGTGCGTGTGTGCGTATGCTTGTGTGTTTGATATTCTGCAATACATGCAGGCATTGATTGCCAGTGAGTATGATGACGTATTGCCGGAAAAGGACTTATTCTTACTGGTAGCTCTGTCGGCAGCCATGGCTCAGTGTGATCGACACACATCACGGGTAAGATTATAAGAATCCGCATCATCACTTCTTGGACGTGCTGTGTGTGCATGTTGCTATTGTATATGATTGTGTTGCTCGTGTGTGCACGTATCCTCGTCCTGAGTCTTGCAGGTCTAGTTGTGTATCTGTCGTCTCCGTGTCTCCTTATGGAGATAGTGTTTCATATGCCGTCTTGTCGTCAATGGCCTACATCAGATTTTATTGAAAACCTCGCATCAGTGACAAGAGTCAAGAGACAAGGAAGAAAAGGAGGGAATTGGAAAGAATCCAGACTGAGAAAACAAAAAGGAGAGAAAGCAGAGAAGGAAAAGTAAAGTCGATGAACGTTCAAGATCTATTCCCAGCACCCATCACAAGAGGCTGATATTGTCAAGTCACATACATGTACCTACAAAATATCAATAGCCTGAGTGTGGAGATGATACAGGGCTGCAAGCACTAAGATACTACTGGGGCGGAAAGGGGGGGGGGGTGGAGGAGGGCAGGGGAGGGGAGCGGGTTTGTGTGGGAGAATTGGGGTAGGGAAGGGGGGTGAGATTAGAGGGGGGGGGGGTGAGAATAGAGGGGGGGGTGAGATTAGAGAGAGGGTGGGGGGGGTGAGATTAGAGAGGGGGTGAGAGTAGAGGGGGGGGGGGGGTTAGTCACAAAATGATCATGTGCCTGGGCAGCAGTATTGTTATCCTCAGACACTCATGTTTGTGTTCGTTTTTCGTAATGGTTTGCGCGTGCCCATGCTCGCGCGCGCGCGCGCGTGCGTGTGTGTGTGTGTGTGTGTGTGCGCGTGAATACATATTTTCAGGCATTCACTCACTTGGTTGACTTGGTTAACGTTGAGAGTGAACTGAAGGAAAAGTTGCAAGACTTGGCAGTGGATATCTTCGTGGAGTAAGTCCATCAGGTGTTACGCGATTTTTGACCTCTCTCTCTCTCTCTCTCTCTCTCTCTCTCTCTCTCTCTTTCTCTCTCTCTTTCTCTCCCTCTCTCTGCCTCTGTCTCTATCTCTTTCTCTGTCTCTGTCTGTCTCTGTCTGTCTCTTTGTCTCTCTGTCTCTGTCTCTTTCTCTCTCTCTCTCTCTCTCTCTCTCTCTCTCTCTCTCTCTCTCTCTCTCTCTCTCTCTCTATCTATCTATCTATCTATCTCCCTCCCTCCCTCCCTCCGCGGACCAGGGTTCTGGTGTTTTCAGCTCCAGTCTACTCCTGTGTATTGGCATGGAGTTGTCAATACAAGGGATAACAAGTGTTGTGCCCGCCCGCACACATGCTTAACACTACTCACAACGTTTCTTCATCATTGTCCCTTAGGCATGCCTTAATCTCCTTTACTACCACGGTCTTATACTGCACTCGAAAATATATATCTCCAAATCTTCGTCCTTGGGGGCTTCATCAGGGAGTGTATGATGCCGCTAAGCCATCAGGAAGTGTATGATGCCGCTAAGACATCAGGGAGTGTATGATGCCGCTAAGACATCAGGGAGTGTATGATGCCGCTAAGCCATCAGGGAGTGTATGATGCCGCTAAGACATCAGGGAGTGTATGATGCCGCTAAGACATCAGGGAGTGTATGATGCCGCTAAGACATCAGGGAGTGTATGATGCCGCTAAGGCCCTCTTCAGACTAGGTACAAAACAGCCTATAAGTCACATTTACATAGAAGTTTCCAAGACAACAACAAGAATCTGGCGGGAAGCCTAAAAAACTGCCCAATCTTTTCAGGCAGGGTGCCAACCCTTGTACAAGGCAACTTTTCTGCATTTATCAGACTTTCACCAGGCAGTTGTATGAACTTTGTACCCGGGTACGACTGTCCGCTGCTTTCACAAATCCCAGGCCCATTGCGCAATTTCGTAGGGTCAAAGGTTGCCTGTATATTGCATGTAAAATGTGTAGTCTGAATGCAGGCATGGAAAAATGTTGCCTTTTAGGTTTTATGCGATTTTGTACTGGATTTTCTATGTACGTAGTCTGATGAGGGCCTAAGCCATCATCAGGGAGTGTATAATGCCGCTAAGCCATCAGGGAGTGTATGATGCCGCTAAGCCATCAGGGAGTGTATGATGCCGCTAAGCCATCAGGGAGTGTATGATGCCGCTAAGCCATCATCAGGGAGTGTATGATGTCGCTAAGCCATCATCAGGGAGTGTATGATGTCGCTAAGCCATCAAGTAAAGACACAATACTGTTACTGTTGTTGCCTCCCTTGCCCAACAATGCAGCGTTGTGCTGTTCTTTGTCCTATGCTGTGCTGTGCTGTGCTGTTCTTTGTTGTGTTGGTTTTTGACCAATGCTGTGTTGTTGTGCTGGTCTTTGCCCAACAATGCTCTGTTGTCCTACGCTAAGTTATCCTATGCTGTGCTGTGCTGCGTTGTGTGGTGTTGTGCTGTGCTGTGTTGTGTTGTGCAATGGCGGTGGCTATTGTAGGAAATCCAATCGACGAGGAGGTGCAGCAGCGGCAGCGAGGCAAAACAAGATGGAATTTGAAGAAGTGCATTGTGAAGAGTGCGGAGAACCCACCGAGGACTGGTGAGATAAATTAGTATCAGTCTTTGTGTGTGTGTTTGTGTGTGTGTCTGTCAGTCTGCCTGTCTGTCTGTCTGTCAGTCTGTCTGTCTGTCTGTCTGTCTGTCTTTCTGTCATATCTTGCAAGGCAATGTTGCGAGGGGTATGCTTGTTAGCTACGTTGTGGTGCACAGCTGGATGGTGTGTGATGTGTTATGCATGTCTACTGGGTCCCTGAAACAATATCAGTTAGCCGTCAGTGGGACATTCGTGAGCACACGTGTATGACCGGAATTATGACATTATGTATTATGCCCGTAGCTATGCAAAAGATGTTATTTCAGTAACGTCTGGTTTTAGCCAGGTTCCACACCGCTTTAATTCGGTGTAGGTATGTGTGTATCTGTATGTGTCTGTATGTGTCTGTGTGTTATGGTGCCTTTAACCCTTTACCGGTCTACCATATGGCGAATCGATACTATAGTATCGGTACGTTTGGCCCTCATTTTTTGGGGTCTTGTTGCTAGGAGACAGCTAAAATGGCGGCCTACGCGTAGCTGAGGTTCAAGGCCTTCTGGCGATGTACAAAACAACCATGCTTACCATACAAATTTTTGCCGTATCGATCGACTGAAGTTTGTTAAAATTGGAAAAGACGACCATCCGCCATGCGCGCATTTCAAGAATGCGAGTGCATCTCTTGGGGCCGTGTTTGACAAGCGTTCTGAGAGCAGTAACTTCACCAGTCCAGGCTGGATCTCCCGGGAGGTTTTGCAGTGTAGTGTGTTGAGAAAAAGAGCTCCGCTGAGTCCTGCTAGTTCAAAAATATATCGTCCACGAATGAAGAAACAAAATTCTCCAAACAGAGAGGAAGCCTTCTTGCTGCCGACACGGCAACAGCGACTGTCACAAGGACTCGTCAGGTGCGATCAGCTGATTCGCCTGGCCGTGAAAATCACGGCATGCGTAAGCTCGCGCCTGAGTACTCATCTGAGCGAGGGTGAATCTGACGCGAGCAGCGCTGAGATGAACAAACCGAAATTGCGATATCGTGGAATGGGAATTGCTGCTGCTGGCGTATCGCCGATGGCGAGGTGTTGGTATTCAATGGCGGTATTGTAGAGAGCCTACATTTCTTGTAAAGACGTAGCCCTTACCTGATTGTTTATCGTACGACTTCAGCTCCATCACGAGCTTGGTATGCCCTTCGTGCTGTGATATTCGTGTATTTCATTCGCAATTGTATTTTCTCTCACCTTGAAGGGCTACCATGGGCCCTATCCTTGCCTGGACCTAGTCATATTTGAATTTTCTGGACGCGTTCAGGCATACAGATTTTGAAAACATATGGTTTACCCATACCTACATCACATGGTTCTTGAGTTATTGCTGGTTGTGTGTACATGTATTTGCGTGACCACCCCTCACATACATTGAGTGAGACCGGCAAAGGGTTAACGTGACGCGCCGTGGTTGGCGAGGTATCCCGTACGTGTCCCGTACCGTCCCATACTGCCCATACTGTACCGTTCCGTAAAAGAAAGCGGGCCACATATTCGAATAGGGCGTTCAGAGATAATCTGTACGTAGTAGTCTCAGGTTTTTCTTGGCGCTAGTAGTTTTCAGTGCGTGTCTTCGTTCATCGTCGAGATGTCTTCATGTTCTCCTCCCGGTTCTGAGGGAGCTGATCCTGTGCTGGTGACGGACAACCAGGTGAGTATAGCGGCGTAGGAGATCGGATCCACGTCAAGTGTCAGAAAGAAATCGGCCCACAGATCGTTAAGTAGACCCAAATCTGTTTCGCTAGAGCGTTTCCAGAAGCTGGAGTTATCAGTAGGCCAGGTATTTGCTTCCATCGAGAGTTTTATGTCCCGATTCCATCAGGCGTCTGGGAGTTTGTCGAGCAGACCGATCCGTGGATTTCGATATTGTTTGGGACTTTATGTTTGAGGGTCAAGATGAGTCAGGCTCAGACGAGATGCCGTCCATGGCAGATTATGTGACTCATTGTACTAGAAATCGAAGAATATACAACGAGAGAAGTTTGCCACATTGAAGGGGTCGCTCCAGCAGCCCTCGAATTGCCCCACCCTAGTAACGGCTATGGCCACAACAAGAAACGACCGAGCAAAGATCCTGTCGTTTGGAGACTCGCCGACTTCGTGACAGGATGCGTCGATAGCGAGAAACCACTAAACAGGCATCCAGTCGGCAGGAGAAAAGACATGATCTATGCCTGGCCCTATCGATTATCTCGTTCATGTCCCGTACCGTACCGGCAAAGACGGAGGGCCATATGTTGATATAGGACTTTCAAGTGCAGGATCACAACGTGAAGTAGAATGTGAGTGTCTGCGAAGTGTATCGAGGGAATATATGTGTTGTAAAAAATTGAAATAATGAAATAAGCTAGAACCATAGCGTATTAGAACTTGGTAGAATGTACCTGTCCGGGAGTTGGAGTTTTTGAGTTATGTATCTATGTTCCTTTATGAGCTGAAGTTTCTTTTTTCAGCTCTTGTTCGAGCCTGTAGCTGAGAACGTTCTAATGCGAATGGATCTTTGGATTGTTCAACTCCGTTCAGTGAAAACCGGGAACGTCTTTGCAATACAAAAATCATGTGCACGACGATCGTATTGTTGCTATTGTGGAATGCATGATAGCCTAAGCAAAAAAGCATAGCGAGGGCCCTGAGCTTTCAAACTCTCTCCTTTATGACTGGCTTTGGATGGAAATTTAATTTTTCATTTCTGTCAGGTTCGGCCTCATTTTCTCTGTGCTACTCTGATCAGTAGACAAAGCTCCAAACTGCATGCTGTTCGCAGATTGAGTGTATGACAGGAATTATTAAAATGGAACGCGAGACATTTGCAAATCTACGCTCAGTACCAATGACGTGGCCTACATTGGGGTATGGTGTGGTTTACGAGTCAGCCCACAAGCAAAATTCTGGAGCTGAATACAAGTGGAACTGTGTGTGTGTTCCTGTTGAGTCTTTCTCCCCTCTCCCGGGGAGACCCATGCGACCAGTTTTGGCAGTGAGCAACAAGTACAAGTGTGGGTGTGGGTGTGTGTATCTGTCCGTGTTTGTGTGTGTGTGTGTGTGTGTTTGTGTGTGTGTGTGTGTGTGTTTGTGTGTGTGTGTGTGTGTGTGTGTGTGTGTGTGTGTGCGTGCGTGTGCGTGTGTATCTGTCCGTGTTTGTGTGTTTGTGTGTGTGTGTGTGCGTGTGCATTTGTTTGTACATATGTGTCTTTCTCTGTGGGCCTGTATGTGCATATGTGTGTCCTGGGTTATGTGTGTCCGTGTATTCAGGGTAACTCAATGTCCAGCCTGCTAACATCGTCATCCATACTCCGTAACAGACGGACGTCGTCTTGATCCGCGTGTAGTCTATGCTACATGTGACCTGTGCCATCACTCTTATGACAAAGTTGTGCAAGGAGTGAAGCGCACTAGCAGATCTGATCAGCTGGCCTGTCCTGTGTGCCACAAAGTATGTGACAACTAGCGCATGTGCTTCAAGCTGTTCTCCTTCCAAGTCGTCACTTTCTGTGTGTGTGTGTGTGTGTGTGTGTGCATGTATGTGAAGTGGTTTTGTGTGGGTGCAGGTGTGTACGCGCACGTGCTATTATGTGCTTCTGTGTGTGTGTGTGTGTGTGTGTGTGTGTGTGTGTGTGTGTGTGTGTGTGCGCGTGTGTGTGTGCGTGTACATGTGTTACGTTGTACTTACATGGCAAATTAGGCGACAAGGAAACAAATGAGTCGTTTAAGATTGTTTTTGTGAAATTTCAAGTTCTTTCTATAATCCTTTTCTTGATCTTGCGTGAAATATTTTCCTAGAAATGTCCCTTCTTTTACGAGATTATTGTAAACATATCAAACGTGATCTTTCGTATCTAATAACCACCGGAACAGTTTGTTTCTTTCCTCTCTATTCTATGCTGTGTTTTGATTGTTTTGATCTCCTCCTTATTTGATGTATTTCTTGTTCCCCATCCGTACTGGTCGCACATTGTTCTTCCCCAAACCCTTGTTATACGCACAGCTTTGTGTCTGTGAGTAGTTCTGTACAATCAGTGTGTTCAAGTACATTAACATGATGGCTTGTATCCTTGGTAGGTCTATGGAGTTCATCGATTCATGATGACGTATTGGTCACAATGATGACATAACTTAATGGTAAAAAAATGACATAATGATCGAAAGTGTTCTCGTACAGAGTGTAGATGAAATACAACCCCTACGTGATCTTCCTAGTACTGGTATTCTGATTGGAAAGAAATGTAGGAAACCCCTCTGTAAACGAAGAGCTGCAAACGTCGCATACTTCTAGCACTTGATGCAAAGTAAAGTGCGTGGATTGGCAACTCACGCAACGGCTGTATACAGCTTATCATAGCACACTTGACATGTCCTCGTATGTATCACACAAGCATTGTTTTGACTAGGTATTGGAGCAAGGACGTTTTTTTGTTTTTTTGTTTTTTTACTTCACCAGATGCACACTGTCGTCTCGTCTACCCGCACGGCTAGGCTCTCAGTAGAGAGGTTGCGCACAACGAAAATTTGTAGCACCGTAACAAAATATTTTAACGAAAAAAGCAAACGGGTATTCGTAAACCAAGAGGCTGAGCACAACTTGTGCACTTTTTCGTAGTGGTGCGGCGGCCGCGCGGGTGCGAAGGGTCAAGACAGGGAGTTGTAAAATATCAGTATAGTACTCCAACGGAGTGCTGCATCTGCCGCTAGGGTTTATCGGGTGTTAGCGGCCGTCGTGAGTTCCCTTCGGGAACGGATACGATAATTTACTTTTTTTACTTACTCCTACGGACGAAAACCCGGACGGTCAACATTTTATGAATTTTCGTTGTGCGCAACCTCTCTAGTAGTACAAGATAAGCAATAATTATAATTATAACTTTATAAGAGGTGTGCTGAAAATTGATATAATTATAACTTTATAAGAGGTGTGCTGAAAATTGATATAATTATAACTTTATAAGAGGTGTGCTGAAATTGATATAATTATAACTAAACTGGTCTTTATAAGAGGTTTTTTGTGTTTATTTGAATTCAGATAGCTCAACAGTACAGAAGTACAACTGCAAATAGCACCGAATAGAAGGCCCCGAGAACTAGCCCTTTCCCAAAGGTGCTCTTTTAATTCGCACTTAGTGCTTTTCGCATCCCTCAAAATATGCTGAAAAGTGCTCTTTTTTCAGTGAAAACAGGCGAAAAGTGCTCTTTTTTCAGTGAAGCATGACCATGATACATTTTCAGATATGAACCCAAGCTGAGAAATCAATACGCACTCTTCCATTTATGGCTCTACGAAGGCAAAACAGGAAATAAAGCTCAAAAAACCACTTTTTACACCGGGTACAAGCTTCACCAACTTGTTGCCCCCCAAAAAAGCGGCGTGCCAAGGCCCATCGAGCACTTTGAAACTGTGATCGAATGCATGAGCAAGCAGATTTTGGCACTTTTTCAGCTAAAAAAGCTCAAAAAGGCGATATTCACCAAAAACGCAATAAAGGGCGAAAGAAACGGGCTTTTCCAAAAAGGGCGAAAAAAGGGCGAGCACCTTTGGGAAAGGGCTACCGAGAACGGGAAACCAAAAACGAAACAAAAACAGCAACATCAATTTACTGATTATGCACATTGCTTGAAAGCAGATCACATCGAGGTGTGCTGAAAATTGATAAATTATAACTTTATAAGGGCCGTTTCACACGAGGTATACATGGCTTTTCACGAATGGGCGTTCTATGCACAGTACACAGCGCGTGATTTCACACGAGTGTCGCAACATGCTTTTCAAGCAGCAGTTGCCATGGCAGCTTTGACCTGCCTCGCACAGAAGTCGTAAAACACGGAATCCGCACGCGAACGCGGGAGTTTTGAACACAAAATAATAATATTATTATTAGTTTGGCAAGGAGATGTTCTCTCCCTGATTCTCGTTTTCTTTGATCGCCACAAGGAGAGAAAGATGAACGGACGAGAGAGGTTGCAAAGGATGGCGAGGCGTAGAAAGACTGCATTGCCCTCGCTTGTTCAAAGTGTAATTTCAAGTTTTTCTCTGGATTCAACCATCTGAGCGGAAGGTTTGATTTCCTCAATTTGATCGAGTCCACTCAGGTGTCTTCTCGCAGGCGTCGCGCGAAATTTATGCTCTTGATAGTCGGCCCACAACTCAATAAGTCTAGCCTCCAGGTCATCAGAGAATATTTGGCGAGGCATTGTCCGAAACGGAAGGCACAACCAGCAACCAGCAATGAAAGCAAACAGAACCAAAAAAGCAAACACGACGACAGATCACAATGCAAGGAAAACGAAGTTTGTCAGTAGAACGCTGGGTATATCCTGCTTTCTACACCCCTCCTGGTCTTGCTGAAAACGTACACGATGCGTTTCACATTTCGCGCCAAAAGTGCTCCATCTCCTAGGGAACATAACCGGAAACGTGACATGTACGCGATTTTGTACCTCGTGTGAAACGGCCCTAAGAGGTATTAGGAAATTTGAGGCCACATGCCACGTACTGCTCTTTTCTCTCCGAAACTCAACACTTGCAAGCCAGATATGAAAGAAAGAAAAAATCATCAGTCACACCACCGGGACTCGAACCAGGGACCTTGCTATCTGGCTTGCATCATACTGGCAAGTCAAACCAATCAAGAGGGCCTGGCCATTCGCTTGATATCATGGGGAGCGCATCAAACCATGCCCACTGCGAGCAAATACAAATTGCAATTTAAAAGTTTGGGGCTTCACGGAGAATTTCGAAGTATTAGGAAATTTGAGGCCACATGCCACGTACTGCTCCTTTCTCTCCGAAACTCAACACTTGCAAGCCAGATATGAAAGAAAGAAAAAATCATCAGTCCCACCACCGGGACTCGAACCAGGGACCTTGCTATTCGCGAGCAATGCTCTAACCAACTGAGCTACAGTATGACTCTTATCCACAGTGATGGTCAACCTATCCTTCTTCAATCAATCCATATCTGGCTTGCATCATACTGGCAAGTCAAACCAATCAAGAGGGCCCTATATAAGAGTCATACTGTAGCTCAGTTGGTTAGAGCATTGCTCGCGAATAGCAAGGTCCCTGGTTCGAGTCTCGGTGGTGTGACTGATGATTTTTTCTTTCTTTCATATCTGGCTTGCAAGTGTTGAGTTTCGGAGAGAAAAGAGCAGTACGTGGCATGTGGCCTCAAATTTCCTAATACTTAGAAATTCTCCGTGAAGCCCAAAAATTTTAAATTGCAATTTATAAGAGGTGTGCTGAAAATTGATATAATTATAACTTTATAAGAGGTGTGCTGAAAATTGATATTTTAGCTGCCATGCCATTGTATATCAACTCAGTATGTTTGTCACTAGAAATCCCAGCGAGGCCCGGTTGCTGAGCAAGGCCCGGGGCACTGATATAAAACGAGATATCCGTTCACTGACAGTATTTCCTCATCAATCATGATGTGAAAGCGGGAGCAAACAAATAATGTGTTCTACTACAGTAGAAGTAATGTAGTAGACCAACAGTAGATCTACACTGCTACAGGTCTGCTGAATACATTCCCAAATTGGGAAGGTCACAACCTGTACTGCGGAGCACATATTTTGTGAATGCTTATTTCCATAATTATCAGTATGGAGTGTATCCACCGTCTGCTCCAATGCATGACAGCTTTGATTCTGCTCGCCATCCACAAGGTGAGTGGCGAAATGTCATCTGGCTTCCGTGCCTCCCATTTCCTGGGTGAGAGTTTCCCTTAGCTGTGCAACGTTCCCACAATGGGACTGGAGAACACGCTGCTTCAGGAATGCCTACACACTTTCGATCGGATTCAGATTTGGCGATGACGCCGGTTGACAACCTGAATGGCCGGAACTCTGTTGGCGATCCAATCAATCTACATACTCATTGTATCACACTGCATTCAAGTTTTGCTGTAGCAGTTAGGTGGGGTTGACGGTGATATTGGTCTGATGCTAGACTGGCTTGCTATGGAGCCGTTGCAGCCTCCCCTCTACTCCACATGCACAACCCTCAGAGATACTAGACTGGCTTGCTATGGAGCCGTTGCAGCCTCCCCTCTACTCCACATGCACAACCCTCAGAGATACTAGACTGGCTTCCTATGGAGCCGTTGCAGCCTCCCCCTCTACTCCACATGCACAACCCTCAGAGATGCTAGACTGGCTTGCTATGGAGCCGTTGCAGCCCCCCCCCTCTACTCCACATGCACAACCCTCAGAGATAGTAGACTGGCTTGCTATGGAGCCGTTGTAGCCTCCCCTCTACTCCACATGCACAACCCTCAGAGATGCTAGACTGGCTTGCTATGGAGCCGTTGCAGCTTCCCCCTCTACTCCACATGCACAACCCTCAGAGATGCTAGACTGGCTTGCTATGGAGCCGTTGCAGCCTCCCCCTCTACTCCACATGCACAACCCTCAGAGATGCTAGACTGGCTTGCTATGGAGCCGTTGCAGCCTCCCCTCTACTCCACATGCACAACCCTCAGAGATACTAGACTGGCTTGCTATGGAGCCGTTGTAGCCTCCCCTCTACTCCACATGCACAACCCTCAGAGATGCTAGACTGGCTTGCTATGGAGCCGTTGCAGCCTCCCCTCTACTCCACATGCACAACTCTCAGAGATACTAGACTGGCTTGCTATGGAGCCGTTGTAGCCTCCCCTCTACTCCACATGCACAACCCTCAGAGATGCTAGACTGGCTTGCTATGGAGCCGTTGCAGCCTCCCCTCTACTTCACATGCACAACCCTCAGAGATGCTAGACTGGCTTGCTATGGAGCCGTTGCAGCCTCCCCCTCTACTCCACATGCACAACCCTCAGAGATACTGCTGGGTCATAGCAGCTCTGTGGACCTTTGCATTATCTATATGCAGGCTTCATTCGCCTTGAAAAACACAATCATGTTGGCAGTGTCGACAGCCTCCGCGACAACAGCATCAGCGAAACTCTCTCCGTTCCAACTATCCGTGGATGCCAAGCCCCCGACACATCCAAAGATTGAAATGGCCCGATGACGTGGACCATCGCAGGTATCTGGGCTTGCTGCACAGTTTACCAAGCATCCT